CAGTTTTTACAGTTTCGGCAAAATAGTTAGATGTAATAATTTTGTACGTAGATAAAAAAAAATATTACTAATTTTGAAGAATTGGACAATTTGATGAACTAAAATTCAATTTTCATTTCACAGTAAATAAAATAAACCAAGGAAATTCAAAAACGGAAGTGGGTGGGGTAGTTTTACTTTTATTGTCTAGATTCCACAATTTTTCATTATAAAACCCATTTTTCTTCCAATAAAGTGAGTGATAAAAAAAGACTGGGTGGGCCGGGCCACTTTCAAGTTTTTTCTTATTCGTAGATTCGACCACTTGACAAAATAAAATAAAATTTTCATCTCAATAAATAAATAAGCCGGTGGTGAACGGGGTAGTTTTACTTTTATTGTCAAGATTTCACTATTTTTCATTATAAAATCCACTTTTCGTCCAAAAATTTGAATACCTAAATCCGCCCACTCTTTTCTTAGAGGATATTTCATTTGCCAAAATCAGTCTTATCTTAGCAGCCACTAGCCCCGTCCACCCACCCTCGCTTTTCTTAAAGGATATCTCATTTGCCAAATCAGTCTTATCTTAGCAGCTACTAGCCCCGCCCACCCACTCTCTCTTTTCTTAAATATCTCATTTGCCGAAATCAGTTTTATCTTAGCAGGTATTAGCCCCGCCCACCCGCCCTCTCTTTTCTTAAAGGATATCTCATTTGCCAAAATCAGTTTTATCTTAGCAGTTACTAGCCCCCTTCCACCCACCCACTCTTTTGTTGGAGGATATTTCATTTGCCAAATCAGTCTTATCTTGGCAGTTATTAGCAAAATATTTACAATTATTTTAAGAATGTATGAAATAAGAAATAAATTTTACAGCAAATAGTATAACAAAAAAATTGGTCTAACGAGTTTAGACAGTACTTTCCTCGCTGTCGGAAACGTGACGACTGCATGTCTATTATGTTTTTTTTTTCGCAGTAGATTTCATTTTTTTTTTTTGAGTCACCCGGTATATGCAAATTCAAAAAATATGAATGGATATTCATGGATATGGATATCATATTTTGTATATTCTAGATAGGATTTATTCGGCAAACTTTTGAGCTGACGTCATCAGTTTTTTGTAGAAGATAACCAAATATATTTTGACTAAAAATTTATTATGCTCTTTATAACCTTAAAACATTTGCAAGATTTCAAAACATTCGATTCTGGAGTTCCTGATTAAATCAATAAAATACATTTACCCATTTATTAATTTTTTTAGGTCACCCTGTATATGCAAATCCAAAAACTATGAATGGAATGATAAATCACAAGAAAAGACTCATCATATTTTGTACATTTTAGATAGGATTTATTTAGCAAAATTTTGTGGTGACGTCATAAATTTTTTAGGGGGGATGAGCAAATACATTTTGATAAAAAATTTACCATGCTTATGATAACTTTAAAACACCTTCAAGATTTCAAAGCATTCGGTTTTGTAGTTCCTGAGTAAATCAATAAAATAAATTTACGCATTCATTAATTTTTTTGAGTCACCCTGTATATGCAAATCCAAAAAATATGAATGGAGTGATAAATTACAAGTACAGACTCATCATATTTTGTACAGTTTAGATAGGATTTATTCGGCAAACTTTCGAGCTGACGTCATCAATTTTTTGGAGGGATAAGCAAAAATATTTTGACTAAACATCTATTATGCTCTTTATAACCTTAAAACATCTGCAAGATTTCAAAGCATTTGGTTTTGTAGTTCCTGATTAACTCAATAAAATAAATTCACGCATTTATTAATTTTTTTGAGTCACCCTGTATATGGAAATCCAAAAAAATTTGAATGGAATGATAAATGACAAGAAGAGACTCACCATATTTTGTACATTTTAGGTAGGATTTATTCGGCAAAATTTTGTGGTGACATCATAAATTTTTAGGGGGGAAGAGCAAATACATTTTGATCAAAAACTTACCATGCTTATGATAACTTTAAAACACCTTCAAGATTTCAAAGCATTCGATTTTGTAGTTCCTGAATAAATCAGTAAAATAAATTTACGCATTCATTAATTTTTTTGAGTCACCCTGTATATGCAAATCCAAAAAATATGAATGGAGTGATATATCACAAGCACAGACTCATCATATTTTGTACATTTTACATAGGATTTATTTGGCAAACTTTTGAGCTGACGTCATCAAGTTTTTGGAGGGGATAACCAAATATATTTTGAGTAATGATTTATGATGCTCTTTATAGCCTTAAAACATCTGCAACATTTCAAAACATTCGGATTAGCAGATTCAAAATTAAATTGCAAAATGTTGTTTTATAATTTTGATTTTTTTTCCAAAAATCTGGACGTTTCGGGTAACAACTCAATTCGTAGTCGTAAACTACATGTTTAGGACTATATTATTTTATACAATTTAAAACCCATTTACTATGTACATGACGTCATCACATTAGTGGTGGGGATGATTAGACAAATTTTGGTTGGCGTTTTACCATCTACAGAGTCATCAAAATTGATTGAGAGAGTTGGTAAACCTGAACTTGAATAATTTGGTTTATTAAGTTGTATAAAAATATTAGCTGTCAGATTTGAAGTTTCAAGTTTCAAATTTCAAAACTCAGTGGCGTCTTTTTTCGACTTTTTTTTGGTAAAAACATTAGTTGTCAGATTTGAAGTTTCTAATTTTTGTCACGCCACTGAATTCATTGCCATATAACCTTAAACAAATCTGTCATAAGGTTGACAAACTTCACGACAAAAACAGGGTGTACCAACTCTCTCAATCAATTTTGATGACCCTGTACATACATGATATTCCTAATATAACTACAAAATTTCACAACAATCGGTCCAGTACTTTCGGATATTATTTGTCTAATAAAAATCCGGGACGGCAGACAGACGGACAGACGGACAGACGGACGGACAGACGGACAGACGGACGGACAGACGGAAATGGGAGACCTATTTCTTCGTCTTCTAGGGGTCATGAAAGATCGAGAAAACGTAAAAGTAGAGAGTCGGCCGACGGACTCGATTACAATACTTCCTTTGCTTACGCTCGGGAAGTAAAAAAGTTACGATTAGCGCTTTTTTACACTTTTCACATCTTAGATTCTACTTATTATTAGCTTCCACTCTCACTCGACAGAACATAGTTAGCCCCGCCCACCCACCCTTCCTCCTTTTCAGTGATTGATTTTATCCGATCTGAACAAATAAAATTAGTCGTTCGAATGAGAAGAGGAGGATGGGCGAGGCTAGTATTCGCTAAGATAAGAGTGATTTTGGCAAATGACATACCCTTCAAGAAAATAGAGGGTGGGTGGGAGGGTTTAGTACTTGCTAAGATAAGACTGATTTTGGTAGATGACATACCCTCTAAGAAAATAGAGGGCGGGTGGGCGGGGCTTGTATCTTCTAAGATAAAACTGATTTTGGAAACTGACATACCCTTTAAGAAAAGAAAGGGTGGGTGGGCGGGGCTACTACTGCTAAGGTAATATTAATTTTGGCAAATGAGATCCCTCTAAACCTAAAATACACCTAAAATTTTACATCGATCACTCCTATAATTACAGAGATTATCTGCAATACAATTAATTAAATAATTACTAATAGGCAGCTGGCAGACAGACGGGAGCAGAAGATGAAATTAGCCATTCCCCAAAGAGATCTTATTATAATGCTTTTCTACCTTACGCGTGGGAAGTACATCTACATTTGAAAGATAAAAATTAGTAGTCATTATTTATTATATTAATTATAATACTCGTTTGGATAAAAACAGACCTACATTTTCAAATAATTTAAAATGAATATTAATATTAAATCCCTGGGTGCGAACACCAAATGAATCACCCAGTATATACAGAGTTTCTCAAAAATCGACCCCTCTTTACTTTTAGCACGGCTACAAATAGACAAACGAAATTTGGCATGGGTAAACAACGTTTAAAATAGGCTGTCTTTGCAAGAGACATCGCATTAAAAATGTTAAATGAGACGCATAAATTTTGGGCAGAATATTTACATGCCTTTTCAGTTCACTTTCAGCATTATACTTGGAAGAATTTTTGTACTACTTAACAATGTTTCTCAAAAGGCATCCTTTCCTATGGTTCATAACTTTTGAACGATTGTGATAAAACAACTAAAGTGTGTACAATAAAATAGAGTTAGAAACTGCTTCTTACAATAATTGAATACACCTTTGACTTGAAAATTCCGTTTATCTTATCTTTATCTTCGAAAATCAGTAGACAAATTAGAAAATTAAGCAGCGTATGGGATGCAAAAATAATTGAAAGGCCTAAAGTAATGAAGTAGCCGACCCTGAACGTCTTTTTTTCTAAATCAAAATCAAACATTTAACGCAATGTCAAATTAAAAGTCATAATTATAGTGAATTTAACGACACATTACGTCACAGAATTAGTTCAAAATGACAGCTAAGTCGGAAACAAGCTTTTGTTTTATTTATTTTTTAAACGAGTATACTTTGATTAAATTAATATAATATTGCTGACTTAACCTAACACCTTTATTTAAAAAAATAAAGGCAAAATAAAGTAATTTAGTTGCTAATGTCGGTGTTTCTTTATTGAAACTTGTAACTAATCAAAACACCATAACAATTAAACCATAATAGATTGCTTGTTATTGTTCTGTCGGTAGCTTTACGATATCGGCGTCATACTAATTTAGATTTTCAAGAAACTTGGTGGTATGTAAAATACAAACAAATCAAGCTTTAAAGTGGAGGCGTCAAGACTGAAATTGTGGAAACTTTGGTAAATAAATTTGGTTTCTTAGCTATTTGTGTATGAAGTTATAAATTTAGACTTTCCGATCACTGATTTATTAATATTTGTTACTAATTTGGCGCATCCTGTTCCTATTCATATCACGGAATCTGCAAGCTTTTTATGTCTTTTTTGTCACTCAACCGCTTGACCGTTTTAAAACACTTTCAACTTGAAATAACATAACAACTTCCGACTATAACACTTTGAAGGTTGTCGCTTTATTTTTTTCCATAAATTTGTAATTTTTGGCACTCATAAACACCTGCCAAAATAGAAATACATAATTTGGCTGATCACAGAGGACTCCACGTGGTAGATTTACACAACAACTTCTAATATATCACCATGTTGATGATCATTCCCTTGGAAATCAAGAACACCTCTTCCTGTTACCTAGTAACAAACGAAATCAATCAGTTTACGCAGTCATTAAAATTCCAGATGACATCTAACTATTACTAGATAGTTTTAGCGTAAGTAAAAGTGTTTTGACCCTAAAATACACAACACACAACCACAACTTTCGTACAAAACTACAAAAAAAATTATACTGCGAAAAACCCACTGCTTCAAAAATTTGTCATCATAGCTGATCATTGATCAACATACCGTTGATTTTATCTTTTCAGAAATCCCAACAATCTACTATGGCCACATGTGATCCTTTACAACCCGTTGTGCTTCTAACTGATGTGATGGACTCCGGTATGAGTGAAACAGACACTGGTGTTCCTCGTAACGCAGAAGAGCCAAACCCAAATTCTCAATTGTTTCAAGTGGAACAAACGGAACCTTTAAACCTGTGTCTCAACGGTAGTGTTTTGAATGACTTTGTCATGGTTGAATGCAGTCCTAAGTTAAAGGAAAACGGCAATTTGAGCGCGCACAGCGATGATGATGTCATATTTGTCAAAGAATATAAAGTCAACCACGAAAAACAGCAAAGGAGATCTAATGGTCAGAAAGTCGGTGGAAAAGGGGAGCCGAGAAGAAACCCTGTTAGAAAAGCGCGGGATACAAAGCGCTTCAAGGAATACACTGATGGAGATTTTTATGATGAAGAGTTTCTGGATGAATCGGCGGACGAAGAAAACTCGGTGGTAAAAATTTACGCATGTTTTTTCTCGTTGTTTCTCATATTCGTACAAAAATCGAGCAATCAAGTGACATAGACATTTCTAAAAAAATGACATATCGATTTTGAAAAATTTACACTCACCTACGGGTTTAGAAGGTTTCACTCTTGCCAATTTTTGCATCTTAAGCAATAAAAACTAATAAATGGAGCCACTCACGAGTATTTTTCTAACAACTACGAAGTTTTGTTTGTGGAATGTTTCCAAATGTCACGTTTTGCAAAGTTTGACGTTAGAATACTGATGACTTTGATTTTTAGTTGTAAATTTTCATCGTTCATTCATCAAAATATTTTTATTTTTTCTCATAACTTCCTACTACTTAAAGAAATTAAGTACGTTTTAATTTCCTGTCGTATAATCACAGTTAACATAATCGGGCAAATTTTATTATCTAATACTACTTTCGTACAAAACGATTCATTCCACCTATTTCCCCCAGGAAATGCAAGAAAAATTTGTTCCAAAAAGTGAAGATTCTGAAGATTGGAAAGTGGAAAGTATACCTAAAAAGACTAGACAAAGAAGGAAAATCATCAGTAGAAAGTTATCACATAAACTGGGACGAAAAAGAAAATTTAACAAAATCAAGGAAGAAGAGAAGAGAGTAACGTTAGAAGAGTTAGAATCTTTAGTGCAGTCTAATCTAATATTAATCAGAGATTACATAAATGATGTTAAAACTGTAAAAAGCATAATGAAGAAAGAAAATGCAGAAAATCTAGAAACATTTGAAGACGTAACGAAGCATGCTATTGATGTATTTAAGCAGCAGGTGATTTTGCTGACGGTTGTAAAGGAAATCGATACCAGTGACTTAACTGAACACATAAGAGAATGGATAATTCCTTAGTAGTACAAATAAGGCAAATTAGTTTTAGTTAGATCTTTAGTGTTTACAAAAATAAAATAGGTTTGGTGGAAGCAAGGGGGATAGATACTTTCCAATGTAGTGATTCATTTTTCATAAATATGTGTTTGAATAAGTTTTTCCTTTTTCAAATAAACAATTAGTTATTGTTATAAATTATGTAAATAAATAGTAACTGAAATAGCAAACAAAAATAATTTTTTACTTCCCGAGGGTGAGCGAAGGAAGTATTGTAATCGAGTCCGTCGGCCGACTCTCAAGTTATACGTTTTCTCGACCTTTCACGACCCCTAGCGTATTAAAAAATAAGTCTCCTGTTTCCGTCTGTCTATCTGTCCGTCCGTCTGCCGTCCCGATTTTTATTAGACAAATAATCTCCGAAAGTAATGGGCCGATTGTTGTCAAATTTTGTATTTATATTAATATCATGTATATGGTAAAACGCTAACCAAAATTTGTCTAATCATTCCCACCAATAACAGGAAGACGTCACTTCAAAATTATACATACATAGTAAATGGGTTTTAAATTGTTTGAAATAACATAGTCCTCTACATATGGTTTATGGTTCCGTATTGAGTTTTACCCGAAACGTCCAGATTTTTGGGAAAAAATCAAAATTATAAAACAATATTTTGCAATTTAATTTTGAATCTGCAAAACCCAATACTTTGAAATCTTGGAGATGTTTTAAAGTAATCAGAAGCTTGGTAAATTTATAATCAAAATGTATTTGCTCATCTCCCCCCTAAAAAATTGATGACGTCACCTGAAAATTTTAAATCACAAAAATTAAAGAGAGTCAGAATACCTAAAATCAACCAACCGAAAATATCAGCAAGAATATAGGGCAAAGATAAGCTGCACAAAGAAAAAAGACATTGCGCTAAAAAAAGTTAAGATACCATGAAAATAAAAAGGAGAAAAGCGAGAAAAGCCAAAATGAAAACAAACAAATGGAAATTTCAAATGATGGTAATGTCATCAAGTAAATAAATTGTAAATTCGGTAAGTTTGAATATTTTTTTCTTTTGGCACTTGATCCTTTTACTTTAACATTACATACATTTGTTTAAGTATTTCAACTGATGAGTTTTTCATAAAAAAATAAAACTTGCAAAATCAAATTTTATAATTCTCGAAAATGCTGGAAATGTTTCATTGTACTCCATGGGCGAGGCAAGTTCTGTCTAAACAACCTTCGACCAACTGTTTTTTTTTGTTGAAAACACGAATTTGCAATTTTTCTTACTTCCGTGGCAGCTAATATTCACAAGTTCGCGTAAGTATCGCAATTTTTTCTCTTTTCAGACATAATCAAAATTAAACTTCTCGGTTTTTGAAAACCCGAAAATTATTTTTTTGTATGATAATTCACAGTTCCATAGAAAATGGAGAATATTTAATTTATCAATTCCAGAAAAGGCAGGTTCAAAGGTTTCGCGTAAGTAACGCAAACTTTTAATTAAATTAAAATTAAATACCTATGACTTTAGTAATATCAAATTATTAAGAAAAAAGAGAAAGCAAATCTCTACGATTAGATTAAAAAATGAAAGTGTAAAAGCACTTATGAGGACAGTTTAAAATAAAAAAACTTTGCAGTTCCGTGCGATTTTAGGCTAAGTAACGGTGGAATTGTCCACATAGTAAATGGATTTTAAATAATAATAGTAATAATAAATAATAAATCTTTATTGCCCTACAGATCCAATCCAATTACAGAACAATTTACAATTACATAAATAAACAGAATATAATATAATAAACTAAATAATAATGCGAAATACATTATGACACTGTATACCTATAATAAACTACTTACATAACATAGATCGATCTATAAGTGCGCAAATCATTTCACGAAGTGACGATGTGTTTATATCACACAGATGAGATATAGAATTGAAATGAGAAGCCATATTAAACACGGGAGATTTAACAAGTATATTTGTATTCGGTTTACGTAAATAAAACGTTAAGGTTTGTCTGGAATTTAATCGAGGAATCAAGATATTGAAGAGGGTTAATCAGTGACTGCAATCAATTTTGTTCCGAAATATAGAGTACAAGAATTTTAGATTATAATGTATCCGCCTAAATTCTAAAGAGTCGACATTCAGAGTCTCTAATAATACACTATGACCAAAGCCCCTGCCGGGATAAACATCAAATATTCTGAAATATAAAAACTTAAGAAATCTTCTCTGAATGTTTTCCAACCTAATCTTGTAACAAAAATAATAGAGAAACCATACTACACTGCAATATTCCAATCTAGACCTAACGTAAGAGTAATACAGAGTTTTTAATACTAATGGATTTTTAAAGGTACTGGTGTTCCTGATTATAAATCCCAAACACTTCATTGACACATTTATGATATTGCTAACATGATCGTTAAAATTAAGTTGGTTATCAAAAGTTATACCAAGATCTTTTATTGTTGAAATTCTATTAAGTGGAAGAAAGTTACAGCTGTACGCAAATAATATGGGATATTTTTTCTTTGAATATGACATTATTTTGCATTTATAATAGTTCAAAGGGAGTTTATTTACCTCACACCAAGTATGTATTTCATTGACACTGTTCTGCAGATGACGACAATCCTCCTGTGTATAGATCCTAGTGAATATTTTTAAGTCATCAGCAAATAAGAGCTTTCCACAATCAATTATACTAACAATATCATTGATAAAAAGTAAGAATAATAACGGTCCTAGGTTGGAGCCCTGAGGAACACCCGATGTCGATATGTAGGACCGCGATTTGAATCCATTATAGGTCACATATTGAGATCAGTTTTTAACTTAACGTGGACTGTGTCAAGATATAACTTGTATGCAAGAAATACTTGAGACTTATAATTAAAGACCGCAAGCGTTTAAATTTATTCAGCTGCTCTACATTACCTGTTTTTTTTAATTGCTGTAGGTATTTATGCTCTAGCATAATATTCTTAATTATTTCAATACTGTACCAGCTTGGATATTTTCGAGAAGACTTTTGAGTCTTAAAAATTGGAACATATTCATCAACAACCAGTACAAGATTGAATAAAAATGAGAACAAGCATCATTGACATTTGTGAAATTCTGTAAGCTTGACCAATCTACTTCTAAAAGGGCGTTATACAACGCCGTAAAGTTTGCCTTTTTAAAATTATATACCTTATACTCCACATTTACTGGAAAATTACGAGGGACTTTAAAATTCATATCAGTATTTAGAGTCGGATGGTGAAATCTTCAGGGACTAATAATAATAATAATAATAAACGTCTTTATTTCAGATACATATACAGTACCTCTCGGAGGCGAAGTTTAGCTTATAGCTGTTCTTACACTTAACCTCTTACAAAAATAACCTACAATTTACACTACATAAATATAAGAAAAATTCTAGAAATGAGATAATTATAAGAGAAAAGAAAAATGATAAAATAAAAAACAATTATAAATTTAAAGAAACTTACATGAAAAAGAACCACATGATTCATTAATAAGTGTATAAGATAATCTAATACGTAACCTAATAGTTTAAGAATTCATTTTTTTTTAAATAAGTTGGAAAATACATATTTCTTAAATCGGGCAATGGGAAGATTCTTAATGTTACGGTCTACACCATTACATATCATTATATAACAACATTGTAACTAAAACAGCGTTTAAATTTTTGACAAATCGACATATTTTCTGATATTCGATATAAAGCCACAACATAAATTTTTGATCTTTCGCAGTCTACTTTTATGCATGGGATACAAACAAAGGTGATAAACAGTAATGACGTAAAATAAAACCGAGAAAATTAATGATTCCGTTAATTTTTTTTTTAATCTTGAAGTTTAGGAGAAACCTGGAAGCACATAATATTTTAACCTTAAGTAGACCGATTTAAGTAAGTAAGAAATATGTGACTTAAAATGCAAATCATAATCAAAGTGAAATGCCTAATATTCGAGCAGAATCAGTTCAATTTAAGACGTTACCAGTAAGTTTGACTGTTGTTACATTTTTTATCCTTTATTTGAATTACTACGTAGTATCATTGTTTGAATTTGTTTTGAATCTTTCTTAATCAGGCTTGTGGGAACTGTAACTATATTAGGTGAAAAGTTAGTGATATTGTTTTCAATGTTTAAATTATTTTTGGTCGCAAATACTTTATCAATATTTACCGTTCTATCTGGTGTCGGTGTTGGCGGAGTACTTTTGACTTTACAAAAATTTCTGGTTGTTCAGTTTCTTCTAAATCATTTGAAGTGTATATATCATCATTAACATATAACTTATTTTCTTTAATATAAGCTTTCAGTTTCTTTTGTTTAGCCAAACTAAGATGGGCTCTTAAAATTTTGTATTTCTTAATTTCATCCGTGGTTAAATCGTTATTTATATAAATCCTCGAGCCTTTCAAATTTTTACGAGCTTGGAGCACTTCATATTTTTTAATACGCGAGATAAATTCAAAAATTACCGGTCCTTTGGTTTGGTTTTTTCCTATTAAGTAGACACTATTTATGTCAGAAATGCCAATTTGAATGTGTAGAAACTCCTGTAATTTCTCACATACAAAGGATGCAAATTCCGGTGAGGGTAAACGTTCATTTGTCACTTCCAATCCAAAGATGATGATATTGTTTTTTTGTTTGCTTTTTCTCGATACTTAATTTTATTTTTTAAGTACTCGTTTTCTCTTAATAACTGCTGACTTACGTTGGACAATATAGTAGATTCAGCCTGATCAATTTTGTGATTTAGATCCTCACGTAATTTACAAATTTCGTTGAAAAAGTCTGCATTTGAAATGCTCATTTCGAGGTTTTATCAGTTACTGACAAAAGAAACCGATTTATAAAAATGTATTCAGGTTTTTCACATGTGTGTAGGTGGGCAGATGCTATCAGCTACATCTGTCCCCTGATAGGGATTCTCTTATGAAATTGTTTTTATTTATTTATTTATTTATTTATTTATATATTTTGTCGCATTAGAAATAAAATTACACTGGTTGAGGCCATTGTAAGATAAGAAATTATTGATTAATTCAGATTTTGAGTCGTTTATACTTAAATTATTCCAATTTGAAACACTGAAGTCACCCATTATTAAGATTTGTTTTTTGTCGATAATATAAAGATCCAGAAGTTCAAAGAAATATTCGAAATCAGATAAAAAAAGACACAAACAGTAGCAGCAGGATAAAAGCTGTGAACTTTAGTCCTCAAACCGCGTACATTTTGACAGTAAATACTAAACGTTATTTCGGAAGAAAAATTGTGAGGAGCATGATCATGTTGAACAGGAATTAATTGCTATATGCCAATGCCAAACACATCATGTTTCAGTTTATCAACAGTGTATTGATAGACGCGACAGTTGTTGTTCCATGCTGCATGTTCAGTATTTATGTCTTCTTGATTGGTTTTTGACTTCAGGTTTACGCAGTTGACACAACAAAGTTTATTAGCATTGCAGTCTTTACCACATCGAGGATAGGAGATTTTGCCCTTGTAGGACTTGGATGAATGATTGTAACCGTTGCAGTTAAAACACCGCGGAGCTTCAAGAGCACAAAAGATTGAGCAGGGATCTAATCCAATAAGGCAATGACCAATACTTAGAGCTTTCTTGTAAGAAGAAAGATTAAGTTCAATTGGAAGATTTTTACATTTTTCCGACTAAGGATAGATTTTTAAAAGTTACATTCAGAACTTTCGTCAAAAATGAACTCGTTTTGATTTTTAAGATAGGTTAGTAGATTGTCCTCTTGGATGTTCTCTGAGAAGCCTGAAATTCTAATTTTAGAACGTAATGGTTTAGTTGCTAGAATGTCATAATCATTAGACAACTTATCCTTTGCAATTTCTTTAAGCTTACCAATATTATCGCAACCAAGTAATATACCATCGTCTTTCACATTTTTGACTTTACCAATATTTAAAGAAGATGCTAATGGATTGACGCTAGTGATAATATCAACTTTAGTTTTAGAGATGGACTGATTCTTATCCTTTAGTTTAACAATGATTGTACTTTGTGAATTTTTTACTAGAGTCTGTGCATATGAAGTTTTGGCATTTATTTCATCTTGACTCAATTCCTTTCCTAAATGATTACGCGGTTGCAAATTTTTCTGTAGCTTAATAACTTCTGCACGTAACTGAGAATTATCTTTAGATAATATATGAATTTCTGTAGTTAGTTCTCCAATTTGATCAGCTAGAGGTTTGGTGTGAGTTTTAATAACATCTTCAATTAAACGCATAAATTCTGCAACAGGCAGATTAACATTCTGAGAGCGCCAAGAGGCAAAGAAGTCTTACTTATTTAACAAAAACTGCAACTCCACGATGAAAGTTTTCCGTCCTGTTGTAATTTATCGGCTGACTGATCATCTAAACCTACACACGTTAAATGATAATTCGAGACAACTTCTGGTGCAAGCAATATAAGCCTCATACCGACAAATTGTGCGGTTACACTTGTCGCATTTAATAGCCATTTTCAAGTTAGTTTTATTCAATGATAAAAGAAGTAAAGAACAGAGCTAGAAATACACTGCCCCCCTAGAGGGGAACACTTCTTTATCGTTCGATTAAGAACTTTAACAAAAGTTTTTCAGCAAAATTTTAGGGTGGCGTCATCAATTTTTTGGAGGGGATAACCAAATATATTTTGACTAAAAATTTATTATGCTCTTTCTGAACTTGAAATACAGTAGACGCCGCTTAATATGATCACGGTTAATGTTATCAACTGCTTAGTGTGATCAAAATGGCTTGGAACGGTCCCACGCAATACTAATGCATTACAGTTTTTCCGTTTATTGTGATCAATATTTCGCTTATTGTGATCAATCTTGTAATTCTTATACAAACGGGAATTGCTTTTTTGGAGAAGTGAGACGACTGAAACTGGTATTGTGTTTTAATGAATATTCATTGCTTTCAAAAAGTACATTCTCTTACACTACTCACTTTGTACAACCACAATCAGTGACAGTTTTGCGTAATCAGTGCGTTTTCGTCTTTTGAACGAACGAATTTTTTCTGTTTTAAATTAGAGTACTTATGTAGAAATGAGCACTTCGAAATGACTAGATCTCAGCTTATTATCGGTGTAATTAAACACTTTGCATATTATCAAAGCAGTTGGAGATCTTAAGACAGTATGATCGCTCCCATCATGGATGAACCAGCGTAAGGTCGCAGTTACCTTAAAAATTTCTCAGCCAAGGGAAATCGAGTGTTCCTTTCTCAGAGTGGTAACCAAAATTTAAAATAAATTCTAACGTTTATGTACCTTCAGCTACAGCATAATAAACACTACTTGTTCACGATTTTGTTTTGTTTCGAGGTTTTACTGTCTCTACTGGAGGTTTTCGCTTATTATTATCAGCCGGTTAGTGTGATCAATTTGTCTGAGTCCCAAAGTGATCACATTAAGCGGTGTCCACTGTATCTGCAAGATTTTAAAGCATTCCGTTTAGCAGATTCAAAATTAAATTGCAAAATGTTGTTTTATCATTTTGATTTTTTTCCAAAAATCAAGATTATCTGTCTAATAAAAATCCGGGACGGCAGACAGATGGACAAACAGAGGGAAACGGGAGACCTATTTCTTCGTCCTCTAGGGATCATGAAAGATCGAGAAAACGTAAAAGTAGAGAGTCGGCCGACGGACTCAATTACAATACTTCCTTTGCTTACGCTCGGGAAGTAATAAATAAAAAAGATACATGTACTCATACAGAATCTCCAAGAATTATCAGAGGAACATGGTGTACAAACGAAGTAAAAAAAGCAATTGAAAAAGGATATAAAATAATAACAATTGCTGAAGTCTGGCATTTTGAAAAAAAATCGAGTTATTTGTTTAAAGGATATGTAAAAGCATTTATGAAAATAAAGTTAGAGACAAGTGAATGCAGAAATGACTTTGAATCAGAAGAAGAGTATAGAAAAGCTGTAAAAGAAATTTTAAGTATTGAATTGGGTAAAATAGAAAATAATCCTGGAAAGAGAGATGTTGCAAAAATTTGCTTAAATTCCTTATGGGGTAAATTTGGTCAAAGACAAAATATGGGCGCAACAGAATATGTTACAGATATTAAGAGGTTTTATGAAATTTTATTAGATGACAGACTTGATAATATACATATCAATGAATTAAATGAAAATACAATGTTACAAATTGATTACAAGTATAAAGATTGCTATGTGGAAAATGATTTTAATACCAATATATTCATAGCTGCTTTTACACCAAGGCTAAGATTATACGAAATGTTATAGACATATTAGGAGAAAGTGTAGTATATTATGATACGAATACAGATCGCATTGTATACATAAATGATGGTAAAAACACTGTTAAAACAGGATGTCTCTTGGGAGATTGGACCGATGAATTAGGTAAGGGCGCATGGATTGTTGACTGGATATCAACACGTCCAAAGAGTTATTGCTATAAGACTAATACAGGTAAAGTTGTTTGTAAAATAAAAGGATTTACATTAAACTATGAAACATCCAAAAAGATTAACTCCGATACTATAAATAATATTTTAGAAAACAAGGACAATAAAATCAGCACACAATATAATCGAATTACCAGAAATACTAAAACTAAAGAACTTTTAAATAAAATAGAAATAAAATAATTTGGTTTTGTTTATGACAAGAGAGTTATTCTAAAAAGCTTCGATACAATACCATTTGGATATTAATTAGATAAAAAAACTGACTTCGATTGTCTTGGGACTAACGTCATCAGGCTTCATATCAGCTGTATCGGATGCGTTATATTTTGCGCCTTCAAATCACTTTATGTGATTATTTGTGGTTAAATATATGTTTACAATAAAAACATAAGAGGAACTGATAATTATCATAAATATTTAAACAATATTGTTTAATGATGACAATGAAATACCTATTTAGTGTAAAATTTAAATGTTTTTTGTGAATTTACAGCCATGTCTAAGTTGGCAGTAGTTATGTTGCCTGTCATTTTTCCCCTAGTTTTATTAAAGACATTGAATTCTTGATTTTCTAGTTACACGTGTTCAGAACTCGCACTCTCGGTTTTCGGAATTATTAGAAAGTTATTTTTGTAAGTGAGTTTAATTGTATATAATCTCAAAGTACCACTAATACTTAATTTTAGGGGGTGAAATATGGCCTCTAATGATTTACACACGCAGTATAGAATAAAATGCCCAAAGAACGTCAACCCCACTCAAATAAGTCCTGAGAGTTTCCAAGATTTTATTCCTCCCAATGTCAAAGTAGTAGATGTAAAGGGTTTAACCCCAAAACAACAAAAAAAGCCTTGCAGATGGGAAATCACCGCCACACTTCAAGAAGGTTAGGTCTTCAACAGTTATTAATTTTAAAACAAAGAGATCATAACCTCCCATGTGTTTGTAGGTGAAGAAGTTTATTATGATAATGAAGAAAGATATGATCTTCGGACAGAAATTGATGTGTACAAACCAAGGAATACAAATTTGTTAGGAGAAAAAAAGGCCATTAGAAATGGAGAAACATCCTGGATTTTTCAATATGAGGTCGTTTGCGAGTGCGGGCAGACGTGACTAGTTTTGATCTTGATTCAGTTGATTAATTGAAGGTTTAAAATATTTTTTATATTAGAATGTTTGCTTTGTAGAATTAGTTATTTATAGTGATAGTTGTATTTAAATACTGTAGGTTTGATTTTTTAATTAAAATTTCATTCAATGCATTCAAACCGTATTCATTTTTGTGCTGAAGTGGGCCACAATAGGACAAAATCTTTAAAATCCACGTATTTTTAAAAAGGTGAATTTTCGGTAAATTTTACAAAGGGCACTTCACGATTTCGCACAAACTGTTTGCGCAAAACTCTTCTATATCACCCCCTGATCACGTTCCTTACCTTCAAAAGTTGTGGAAACGCTTCCTTGTGTCAGAAAAAAATATTTAGTGTTCGCCCTAATGTTGCACCGTATTAGTTGCGCCACATGTAGGCAGCCAACTACACACACAGTTGAACTCGCACGAATTCCAATAACTAAATGATCCACGGAGCAAGAATGCCAGGTTTAGGGGTATGCTTGTAATAGGGTGCAGGGCGCGAAACGCCCTGCCTCCATTAAAAACCCGACATTACACCTACCCGTGTTGTTAACTATAAAAGGTTAGGTTATGTTGGAAACGACTTCCCATTAGCCACTAACACATGACGTCACGCTGTGGCGGGAACTCAGCGTTTGACAAGCGCCGTGAAACTCCATAAGCGACAATGTTAACATGTTCGCATTTTATTTAAAAGTGTGGGTATTTATGTAGAAAATAAAAACGTGAACAGCTTCTTTCATATCTTCCTAAAAGAGCACCAATGTAATTTGTTAGAAACTGTAATAAATATACTTTACTTTGGCTTCTGTTAAATCCACTCGTTTCAAGGCTTTTAACCAAAGCTTCCGCCTTTTTCCCCATCCTGTATATATTTACCTTTATTGTTGCGAATTGCTGGGAAAGGAAAATAAAATTTGTCCGCATTTGTACTTCAATTCACGCAACCCACAACAGCACAAAATTTGGCCATTTTCTACTAAAATACAAAATATTATAATATTAAGATGCCAGAGTATTTAAAAAACATTGACATACATTAACAAAGAATTAATTTGCAAGACAAATAATACATATAAGATGCAGCGAAGTTAACCTGTGCATCACATTGGAAAACATTATTTTTTAAGCATATTCAAACGTTATGGTGCGTTTTACAAATATCTACACAGTCTAGAAACTGTAACAAACTTACCAAACTATAAAAACACAGTTGACACACTCTCAAATTTAAATGAATTCCGAAAATATTAGCACTGACTCATGAGAAAACCGGCTAGTTGCCGAACGCTGCCATCTTGATGACCTCGGATGACGTCGGTGCAAATGGGAAATTTAACAATTTTTTTGTGGCAAAAGTAAGCATTTCCACAACATTTGAAGGCAAGGAACGTGATCAGGGGGTGCTGTAGAAGAGTTCTGTGCAAACAGTTTGTGCGAAATCGAGAAGTGCCCTTTGTAAAATTTTACCTTAGATTACCCTAGATTTTTTTTTGTATACAACCAACAATATTCTACATAATACAAAGTGATGATACATGATGAACGTATTTATGTTTCTCGGCCTTTCTATTTTACCAATACATTTTCCACCTATTTTCCGGTTCGCTTAACTTCATGTTCCGCTTTTTTTTGTTCTAATAAATATTTAATCTATTTTACCTTTTTTTTAAGCAGTATAAAAGCAGAGATAAAAAAGCATGGATACATAAAAAAAAAGTAAAAAAGAGTCTGGAAATATTGGCAGCCCTGTCCTCCCTCCTTGCTCAACCACAGCATAGATATCAATCAGTAGAGACGGCTCGCCGTTTTTCGTGACCCGTTTTCGTGGGTGGTCGTTCGCTTTATGACCGAATGAGGGCGCCCAACTGACGTCTAAAATATTTGAAATTTGGCAGTTTTGTTACAATATTTTTGCCGGTTTTGCTTGTTTAAGACTGCTTTTCCAGTGGAATTGTACAAATAGTATAAAAATGTAATTTTCACAATAAAAGGTAAAATCTTTGTCCGATGAATTTTCATACAGGATCCCTGTTGTGCGCCTTATTCTCTCCCTCGTCTTTGGAATTCTTGGAAAAGATAGTAAACATAACACACTTTTTGTTTAAAAAGTCGTCGCAAACGAACAACAACGGTGGTTATGAAATAAATATAAAAAATTTATTATATATGATTCCGTTGTTGTGGTAAAATTAAATATAAAAATAATAAGAAACAAACTACACGTAACAAAAAATTATATAAGCAGACCTTCACTCAATAAACAATTTTTTTATTCATCATGTATATATATATTTTTTTTGACCTACACAATCTTGAGTTTTATTTTGAGACGTTGCTTAACCCATAAGCAGTCGCACGTGGGTAAAAATGACCCAAGCCGTACATTTTGTCAAATATCTTTTTTCGCTTAATGCCTATGGACTTCCGGTTTCATGAATTCCTTAATTATTCTTACCTGCGTCGACCCATACCAATTACCTGCACTTTATGCGAGTCGACAAATATGTATTTTTTTTTGTAATATTTTTTTTTTAAATAAAAATTTTACTTTATATGATATTACGTTTACGGGTTAAGTTGTTAGGTAAAATGCGTTTTTTTCGTAAAATTTTTGAAATTATTAAACAATTTAACAGGTGCTGTTCTTATTTTTATATTTATTCTTGTATAAAATAATTACCATAATTACATTATCATGCCTGTCTGTTTATTTCTCTTTGCCAGCATTAACTTTTTTCCTTTTTGTAATTTAATTTTTATTTTATTTATTTATTTTTTCTTAAATAAACCTCTTTCTTTTTAGATGTATTTATTACATTATTTTTACAATGATAATTAAACCTCAAGTATTCAGGGAAAGAATGTGCGAATTGTCAAATTGTATAAGTACCTAATAAAATAAAAACTGTAACAAATCATCGTGTTTATAATTTAAATATCGACTTTTTTTTCTTATTGCGATTCACGATTATACGATTTGAGCAAACTACACAGTTTGCAATATTGCGTACACGAATCAATTTTTGAAATTGTAAATGAAGTGATACTTTTTAAATTGAGTGGCGACATCTAGGAATAGTTTAGGCAACGACCACCCATGACGGCTTAAAATTCGGGTCAGAAAGAACAAAGGCGCCGACACGAGCTGTCTCTACTGATTGATATCTATGCTGTGGCTCAACAGTCTATTGGTAATGTTGGTATCACAGATTGACATCTGTCAGAAGTGTCAACACATTGTGGGGTTAATTATTTGAATTGTGTGAAAAATTTATTGAAAACCATGGCTGATGATGAGGAAACTTCAGAAATACAAGAAAAATTAAACACATCAGACACCACGGAACAGCAAGAACCATTAGACACGTCACAACTGGACCAACTTATGAAAGCTGATTTAGAGTACATGTTGGAATTCGAAACCCAAATTTTCTTAGATATCATTCACAAAGATGGTTTAGTTGTAGCGGCCAAGTACATATAAAAATTCTTTTAAAACCTATTTTACCACATTAATTTTTAGAGGTCTCAATCTTGATTTAATTTTATTAAACTTATTCAAAGTATATAGTGATCCTGGAAACTTAGTTCTAGTGTTGAACACCACAGAAGCCGAAGAAACATACTACATGAGCAAAATCAACGACAGTAATATGCATAAAACCACGTTTAACGTAAACACCACTGAAAGGTTGTTTTATATCTTGTAAAAACAAAATTTTAGACAACTTTTGCAGAGTGGACTCATATTTATCAGGCGGTGTTCATTTTATCACAACTCGAATTTTGGTAGTGGACTTACTGAAAAACCGAATTCCTATTGATAAGATTACAGGCTTTGTGGTACTACGAGCCCATAAAGTTTTAGAAAGTTGTCAAGAGGCGTTTGCGCTGCGTCTGTTTCGACAATCAAACAAAGTATGTTTGCATAATGACAGTGAATTATATGTACTCACAATTCTCTCAGACAGGTTTTATTAAGGCATTTTCAAACAGTGTACAAAGTTTTACAATGGGTTATGGTCAAGTGGAACGAGTAATGCGTGCTCTGTTTGTAAAGGAGTTGTATATTTGGCCCAGGTTTCATTCTGTTGTTATTCAAAGTCTGAAAGAACATGAGGTGACTACTACACATTTTTTTAATATACATAAACATGTACTTGTTTTAGCCCCAAATTATTGAACTACATATTCCAATTTCAGAAAATATGAGTAAAATTCAAACTTATATTTTAGAATTAATGAATATCACAGTTAAAGAACTGAAGAAAATAAATAAAACAATTGAGCTTCAAGTATGGCTGATGTATAACTTGGCTTATTTTCTTTTTATTTTTTTGTATTTCAGGAAGTGACTGTGGAGAATTGTTTAACCAAAAAGTTTCAGAAAAATTTACAAATGCAACTTGATTGCATATGGCATCAGTTGAGTAGTAAAAGCCGACAGCTTGTTGCTGATTTAAAGACTCTGCGTCACCTTATAATGTAACACTTCTCGTTTTATTTGTCAGTATATAGACACTTTCCTTTTAGTTCTATGCATTATGCAGATCCTGTATCATTTTATTCCACTTTATCAAGTTATCGTTCAATGGAATATGCTCAAACTGCCACATGGGTGTTGTTAGAGCCTGCTGAAATGTTGTTTTCCCAAGCAAGTAGCCTGATATTTACAGGAGACAAAGGTACAAAGTGTAACACTGTTTGTTATAATCTTTTTGTAACTGATTTCTAGAGCTGAACCCGGAATTTTGTCCAAAATGGAAATTTTTGTTGGACGTTTTAAAAATTGAAATACCTCACGAAATACAACAACTGAAAACCAAAGAAAATAAAATTGTAATACTTTGTGCAGATCACAAAACATGTTACCAATTAAATCAAGTACTGCCTAAGCAATATCAACATGATCACATTTTTTATTATTAAACTTGTAGTTACTAACACACGGCCCCTATAAGTACATGTTCTTGAATGCACTTGACAAGAAAGTCACTTTTAAAAAACTTGGCGATAGTTTTCAAAAATGTGGAAAACTGGGTGATGGTGAGTCAGCTCCAGATCCACCCAAGAAGGCAAAACTGGATAAAACTACTAATGGGGAGGACAAAAAATCTGAGGATGAAAAACCAGAGGAATGTGAAGGTATTAAAGACAGTTATGTATTAACAATGTCTCAGTCAAGTTCAACTGAGGCAAAAGATGAAGATGAATTTGTTTTTGAACCACTGGAAGAGGTGCACCTGTTATTTCATTTGTTTTCAAATTATCAAATACAAGTTTTGTAGATGGAAAACATGAATATTACACAAATCTGCCAGTCAATCGCAGCCCCAACAATTCTTATCCAAACTTTCAAAGGAACCAAAGGTTCCATGAATCTTCAAAGAAGCTTAGAAGAAATACAACCAACTTTTATAATTATGTATCATTGTAACATTACTGCAATAAGAGAAATTGAAATGTATGAAGCCCATCGCAAACCGGAAGCGCCTCTCAAGGTTTATTTTCTCATGCATGGTGATACTGTAGAAGAGCAAAGTTATCTAACATCCATGAGGCGCGAAAAAGAAGCGTTTGAGTATTTAATTCAAACAAAATCGGTAATTATTAAATTATTAAAGATTTGTGTATAGTGTATTGTTTTTTTTTTTTAGACTATGGTAGTACCTGAAGATCAGGACGGTAAGTCTGACCTGTGTCTAACTCTCCAGCGTAATCTGTCATCACCTACAAAGAACACTCGACAAGGAGGTCGTTCTGAAGAGGGGGGGCGCAAATACGTGATAGTTGACATGAGAGAATTTAGAAGTGACCTACCGGCGTTAATACATAGAAGAGGAATTGACATAGAACCCGTTACCATCACAGTAGGCGATTACATTCTGACCTCTGATATTTGCGTTGAGAGAAAAAGTTTATCGGATCTGGTTGGATCTTTAAATAGTGGAAGATTATACCAACAGTGCACCCAGATGTTTAGATATTACGCGCGACCCATGCTTTTGATTGAGTTTGACCAAAATAAACCATTTTCCTGGCAAGTAAATATCTAAAGCCTCTATGTATATTTTTTTGTATATGTTTATTGTAGTCTATACTTTATTACTTTTTTTTTGTAGAACCAGTATATGGTATCTAGTGATAGTAGCAACTTTGAAATACAAAAGAAACTCCTCCTTTTGACTCTGCATTTCCCAAAGTTAAAAATTATTTGGAGTCCGAGCCCGTACGCATCAGCGCAACTATTTGAAGAATTAAAAGTAAGTGCCTGAATGATATGAATATCATTTCTTAGTCGTTGATAGTAAACTACTTTGCACTTCTAGGACGGGAAAGAAGAACCTAACGTTGAATATGCCATGGCTATTGGCGATAATCAAGATTTGGATATTTTAGAAACAAAATATAATAGTAGTATATATGATTTTGTTCAAAAACTACCAGGAATTAATTCAAAAAATATTGATGCATTTTTGCGTCAAGTAAAAAGCATGGACAGCGCTATACAAAAGACAGAAGAAGAACTGAAAGAAATCTTGGGCAACATGGTTGATGCTCGTCTTCTTTATGCAGCGCTTCACAATGATCATAATCCTAAAGAATTAGAAACGAAACCAAAAGGGCAGTGGGCGAGAAAGAGGTTTGCCAAAAAAAAATCATAAGTTTGGTGTACATTTTCTGAAATTATTTAAATAATAATAATAAAAGAGAACAAACTGAAAGTTGTTTTTATTTTCCGCGCATATACTACAGGAAAGTACTTTAAAAGGGCCATTTCTAAGAACGACATTTAATGGTTCTGGCTTTGGCAGTGAAATACTTACGTGGGATGTTTACTTCCCGCCTTCCCGCACGCAGTACGTTCTCAAATTTCGAACTTGATGTATCATGCGAAATCGTAGCCTACTCTGCACGAGTATTTTTCTAGCACGAAATTAATGTTTCGTTTTTTTATTCGCAGTTCAAAAAATAAAAGGGTGGAAGATTCTGCGTTACCTTATCACAGGGCTACATAATTTTTAATCGAGTCATCTTTGGAAAGGATTTAGCATGTCGGTAATTAAACCACACTGATAAAAAATTAAAAAAGTAACAAATGAATGTACAAAAAATGGTAGACACTATAATAAGATTTTTAATAAAGGCCATTTTTTAAGAGAATACAGAAATAAAGTTCTGAAAAAAACTGTTTTAATATAAATATACCACCTGCAAGAAGCAACAAAACAAGAAAAGTAAGGTTAGAATGGACGTTTCATTCTTTGTACCATGGAAGAAAGAATATATGTATATTCATTTGTCCATGATTTATACTATCATCAGAGAACAGTCAATTTAAGTAGGCTCCTTTGGGCTGCATGTACATATTTGATTGGCAGTTTCAACGACATTTCTCGACCGCCATATTGCGCTGCAATGAGCGGTAAATTTAAACGCGGTTAACTGTATGTGTACCTGTTCTGATGTGTATTATGAGTTGCAAAAGTTCATGACGGCAGTTTTGGTTGCCTATCTTATGGGTTATTTATTTTATTTATATAATAAAGTACTTTAAGGCATTTTTCCAACAATTAATAACAAAACTGTTCACTCACAAATAAGCTAAAATTCTAAGAAAGTCTTCAGGGACGCTAAGGCATCACTACAAAAAATAACTTTATTATTTAAAAAATATGCATTACGAATAGCGGAGCATTTGTTGTAGACAGGTACTGTGATAATTTAAGCCCTAAAGTATTTATCGCTGTTAGATAATGAGTTGCTGCTCTGTAATGGTAATTAAAGGAAATGCATAAGTTCGGGATTTCTTTGTCGAGTCTCTCTGATATGTTTATTGTGATCCACAACGATTTAATTAATGATACAGGGATTCATTTCAGGGTGTTTTTTGCACGGCGTTTTTTTATTAACTTATTTCACAGTTGCATAATTGCACAAGTACGGACAATGTAAAATATACAGCAGATAACCAACTGAAAACAATGGTCTCTCAGCAGTAATAACAAGCTTTAATTTTAAGTGCTTGTTTATACATCGGAAGAATGTCACGTAGAAATTTGTTGGATTTGAATTATAGTGTCAGCTTAATTATTAATTAAGCCACAGTCGAACAGAATGTTCTGGAAATTATTCCTATAATTATTCTTTTTAAATAAAGACGTGCGTATTCTCACTCTCGTTCTTAATTTGTTACGACGTCGTAAACGGCATCCCAAACGTGGGACCACCATATGCTAATGATAAACTCTTAATATAGTGTACTATTTTTTTTGTGAATATTTAGACGTTTAGGGAAAAAACTCAAAGCGGTTTCTGTATAATATTTAAATAATTTTAAAATAGAATTCTCTGAAATAACGTCATCGAATTGTTGGTAGAGATGATTAAGCAAATTTTGGTTAGCGTTTTACCATCTACATGACTGGCAAAAATTCATACAAAATTTGACAACAATCAGTCCAGTGGTTTCGGATATTAGACTCGTGTCTAATAAATAAAAATCGACACAGACGCCAGGTAGACAGACGGAAACGGGACACTACTTTTTCGTATTGTAGGGGTCGAAAAAAAATAAAAGTGGCCTATGAACTCGATTACTATATGTACTATTTTAGCTTACGCTCAGGAAGTAAAAGATAGTAAGTGATGCCCAAAAGAGAAAATTTAAAAGTCTGAAAAAAAAACTTTTATGAGAACCTGCTTTACTCATCTTGTGCAATTTTTTTCTTTTGTTTGAATAAAATAGTACATATACTAGTGGTGCGGGTGACAAGTTAAAATTGGAAAATCTTACTAAATGTTAAGAAAATATAGTTACGACTAATCTAGTTAGGTGTATTTAGGAAAATTTTAATTATAACTCTTGATAATTTAAATTCTTAGATAGAGATAACGATGTAGAGGTGTGAATCTTCAAGATTCACACGTAGAATTTGAAAACATAATTGGTTTTAATCTTTCCTATGGCACTACATACCTTATTTATAAAGCCAAGTCCCAATGTATCTTTGAATACGAAAATATATATCCATTAATTTGGAAGAAACATCTAATTCAATCGACCAATTTTGGAAATAAAAATCACCATTTGATCCCAGAATATATTTTAGGAACCTCGCTTTAACAGAAAACAGGTTTCATATTCTGTTGGTCTTGAAAAAATATTTCGTTCGTATTTAGCGAAACAACAGACCTAGAACGGGTTATAAAATGGACATAAATCATTTATATAAATTTTTAAACAGTCATAAAAATTTAGAATACTACATCGGCTGCATCTTGATGCACTTTTGATATTAATATAGAAATATTAATTTAACTTAATTTTGTAATAAAAACATTGTTTTCTCAGAAAGTTCATTTAATTTTTTGAAAAGAATACTATCCAAAGAGGACCGAAAATATTTTTTCCCGGGGCTCTAAAATGTGAAACACTATTATTAGAATTTTACCTGCTGGATATGGTAGAAATTACTTTTACGATTGACTTCTAATCCCAAGTCATGCACCTGAACATAAGTCGCCTCACCACTTTGACTAAAGTTATAAATCATAACGACAAAGAAACCCGTCGGATTTGAGTACCTACTGTACCACAGTAATAAGTAGGCTAAATACCTCCCTCTCATAACGTTAATGCACCCTATCCTGCTTTATTTATACATGTAATAATATCTTTAATCATTCATGAACACTATTACTACTATCAAATTTAATTTAATTTAATTAAAGACGCTCTGCAAGGGGGTCGTGCTTATACTGGCATTTGAGGAATAGTGGGTATATAAATATTACCATCGTTTTTTATTTTAATAGTATGACAATTTTTTTAACCTTCTGGTATAAACACTGTCGATATGAAGGACTACCTCATTTACATTCTTTCTTGACAGCAGCTTTAAAAAAGCATAAATGACGAAAGAGATGTTATAGGTTGCCTATATTTATAAAAAATGATCTGTTTATAATTTGTTTTAAAAATAAATAATAACTAAAGAATGAAAGCGTCTAATTCATATAAATATTATTCCTGTGAAGATTTTTGTATTGTCAATAAGCACATTATAGTATGTCGCGTAAGTTATAAGCACAATATAGAAATAATGAAAATACCAAGGAAACCATCAAATTTTAGCTAGAAATCATATTTAGGTCGAATTTTATGAGTTCTGAAGTACACTTCGACTTGTTTTTGACGATTCTGATCGACACGACGTAGTTGTGGTATGCAGAATCGACTTAATTTGCCAAAAGGGGACGATTGGGTCAATTTTTCACATTTTGGCGTTTGTAGATTCAAGAAATTGGTTAAAATACTTCAGAAACTTTATTTTTCAAGCGTTTTCTTGTGATTTCAAATATATCAGACATCCTATAGAGACCGAAAATATCAAGGAAACCATCAAATTTTATCTAGAAATCATATTTTGGTCGAATGTTATGAGTTCTCAAATATATATGTACATACAAAATTGTATATATACTGTGTCATTTTATTTTATTTTATTTTATTTTATTTTATTTTATTTTATTTTATTTTATTTTATTTTATTTTATTTTATTTTATTCCATTACGTCCCCCAACAGGCACCGAGGCCCAATTACAGGGGAACGGGACATACACGTTACACCCAGAGCCATGGCGGGAATCGAACCCACGACCCAAGGTGTAGCGGGCAAGCATGATGCTAACTAACCCACCTCCGGGTCACACCTAAGCGTAGGTGCTAAAACCGTAAAGATGAAATTGGAATCGTTGGCATCTTTGTAACTGTAGACACGGAGCCTTAGTAGGACTTATTGTTAAATAAACGATAAAAAAATTAAACATTTATTATGCATTTGAAATATTACATTATAACAAAATAGTTATAATCACTAATTTCTTAATATTTAATATAAACTACCTAATATTTTACACCCAAATAAAGCAGAATATGTTTGAAAAGAGGGAACCTCCATTAGCAATTTCTTCCTATTTTCTTTCCTAATTTTCACATACAGTTACATATCTATTAGTTTTTGAAATAACAACGTTAACTTTCTATCACAGGATCTAGTAATTTACATGCACCTAACTGTCGATCACTAATATGTACTCTAAAGATTTAGTTACTATTGTTATCATTTTTCCTATGGACTCTTGCAATAACTAACCCCTCAGAGTTAATACCACAGTATATAAAAAATAAACAGCATATAAAGATAAAAACGTAAAGGCAAAATATAGCCATAATGGCCAATTGATGACGTCATTCCGACGACGGATCACTTGTTGAAAGAGAAACGGTTGGTTCTTTCTCATAGCTTCGTAATTTTGGTTTTTCTTTTTTTACTTCTTCCCTTTTTTCAATAGGAGATAGATCACTTTCGCTCTCCTCAGAAAATGCTTCTTCCAAACGTCTCTTTCCCTTCGTTTCTTGATCAGATCGTTTCAATTTTTGTTTGGACATTTTTCTGTTGTCTACAGATAGCCGCTCTTTGGAACCATGTCGATTCCTCGATTTTTTATACTTAGTTTTGTGTATGCGCGCGCTTGTGTGTGAACTCCCTGTTGAATATCCCGTGTCTTTGCGACAATTTTTCATTTTTCTGTATCAAAAGAAAGACATCGGAAAATTTGTAGCGAGAGTATGTATATAGGTTACCTTTTTTTGTTGGCGCAGTAATCTTCGGATAAATCGTCACTGGAGTCTTCAGACTCTTCTCTTAAATTTCTTCTACTTTTTGAACGACTTTGATTGGAACTATACCTTTCTTTTTCTTTTCTTCTACCACCATACATGTCTGGTTTAGAAATTATGGAAATATTAGTTAATTCAAAATCATCTTTAGTTTTTTTCTTTCGATGTTCACTGTGAACTACGTAGAGCCTATAAAGCTGTAGAAGTATGACTAGAGTATTTTTGCAAGTAAAAAATACATTCATGTAGGATATAATTTTAAAGTGAGTGATGAGTAAAAGTCTGAAAACCAAAAATGGAGCATCTTGTAAAGTAATGTTGAGAGCGATTCCCCACACATCGATTGTGCAGCAGCTGTTAGATCTAAAGTAAGTAATTATAAATAATTATAACATTTTGAAACAATTTTAATAGTAACCGATTGATTATAGATCCCGTCGACGTGAGACGCGATTTTCTAGATTTGGTGGCAGTCAACACGACAGTAAACTGCATCAAACTCCAAGACCTGCAAATGTGCATTAATTTTGACACTACTGATGCATACTGTTACCATATCGCTAGTGTTAGCAAGACTAAAAGTGGTTCGGCTGCAATTTTGTCGTCTTTGAAAGAATCAAAAAACTCTATGATGTCAGCTGCCGTTCCTAAAATCAACATTTTTGCAAAATGTACTAAATGAAAAGAAAAATGTTACCTATATATACTAAAAGTAACTGACTTAATTGATCTCGTGTTAAGTCTCCTTTAGGTAACATCCACCTTCCAATTATAAGAATCAACATTAAAAATTGTTCTATGAGAGTTATCCAAGTTTCGGTGCTCAATGGTATGTCGGGAAGTTTAATTTGCACCTGCAGATTAATCACTTTAATTGCTATTTTTTATTATGTGAAAGTTATACTCCAATTAAGCTGTTTAGTTCTTTTAAGTTTGTCGTTGAAGTTAAGTTAAAAGTTTCTTCTTTTACTTTTAGACGTCGATCGACTTTATCCAGTTCCAGAAGCCATATTGCTGGGACAATACTAGCGAGATAAAGAAAGACAGAGGGACAAAACCTAGAACAAATGTTTGTGATTTTACATTAGTTTAGGAATAAGGGGAAATTTCACCCCATTTTCACAACAGCATAAAAAATGGAGTAGTTTGGTGATCATAAAAATTGTACAATTTTAAAATGGAGAATTGTTTTTAATCGAATTTGCATACTTTGGAACGAAGCAGGGTAAACACTTTGTTTTGTTAACTTTTTATTTAGTTTAGCATAATAAAATGCAAATAGTTATCTTTACTACGTTATAAACGAAAGCTATTTTTGTTTTAGTTTTGGGTACAATCAAAGAATATTATAATAATATTTTTTTTAAATAAGCAAATATTAAGAAACTTCGATTAACAATTTTGGCATGTTTTTTAAATAAATATATGTAGAAATCTTTTTTTTTTGTATTTGTTGATGTAAGGTTATGGAAATGAAAAAAAAATGTTCCTCGTCGAGTGGCATTCGAACGTGCATCCCCTTTCTTCGCTTTTACATTGTGCCACTACAGTACTCCCCCATAATGAAGTCTGTTAACTACATAATCACCCGGGTACTACTAGATAAAATTTGGTTACCGTTTTATCATCTACAAGATGTTCCCAAAATGCACTGATTTAATTAATAAAATACATTGACGCATTCATTAATTTTTTTGAGTCACCCTGTATATGCAAATCCAAAAAATATGAATGGAATGATAAATCACATTGTACATTTTAGACAGGATTTATTCGGCAAACTATTGAGGTGACGTCATCGGATCATTTTTTTGGATGGGAAAGTAAATATATTTTGAATAAAATTTTATCATGCTTATCACAACTGTAAACCATCTGCAAGATTTCAAAGCATTCGGTTTTGTAGATTCCAAATTAAATGTCAAAATGTTGTTTGCTAATTTTGATTTTTTTTCCAAAAATCTGGACGTTTCGGGTAAAATCTCAATTCGGAGTCATGAACTACATGTGTAAGACTATGTTATTTGATACAATTTAAAACCCAATTACTATGTACAATTTTGAAGTGACGTCATCACATTAGTGGTGGGAATGATTAGACAAATTTTGGTGAGCGTTTTACCATCCACATGATATACTTAATATGAATACAAAATTTGACAACAATCGGCCCCAGTACTTTCGCAGATTATCTGTCTAATAAAAATCCGGGACGGTAGACAGACGGACAGACAGACGGAAACGGGAGACCTATTTCTTCGTTCTCTCGTTCTCTAGGAGTCATGATAGGTCGAGAAAATGCAAAATTAGAGAGTCGGCCAACGGACTCGATTACAATACTTCCTTTGCTTACGCTCGGGAAGTAAAAAGCAAAAGATAAAAATAGGTCTAAACATGGAGGCAGTATGAGTAAACCTCAGAATCTCGTAATATCACTTTTTATTATGTTGTTTTTTGCATATTATTTTTTACTTCCCGAGCGTAAGCAAAGGAAGTATTGTAATCGAGTCCGTCGGCCGACTCTCTACTTTTACGTTTTCTCGATCTTTCATGACCCCTAGAAGACGAAGAAATAGGTCTCCCATTTCCGTCTGTCTGTCCGTCTGTCCGTCTGTCCGTCCGTCTGTCCGTCTGTCCGTCTGTTGTCCCGGATTTTTATTAGACAGATAATCTCCGAAAGTACTCGACCGATTGTTGTGAAATTTTGTACTTATATTAAGAATATCATGTAGATGGTAAAACGCTAACCAAAATTTGTCTAATCATCCCCACCACTAAAGCGATGACGTCACTTCAAAATTGTACATAGTAAATGGGTTTTCAATTGTATAAAATAACATAGTCCTACACATGTAGTTTACAACTCTGAATCGACTTTTCACCCGAAACGTCCAGATTTTTGAAAAAAAAATCAAAATTATAAAACAACATTTTGAAATTTAATTTTTAATCTGCTAACCAGAATGCTTTGAAATGTTGCAGATGTTTTAAGGCTATAAAGAGCATCATAAATCTTTAGTCAAAAAATATTTGCTTATCCCCTCCAAAAACTTGATGACGTCAGCTCAAAAGTTTGTGGAATAAATCATATCTAAAATGTACAAAATATGATGAGTCTGTACTTGTGATCTATCACTCCATTCATATTTTTTGGATTTGCATATACAGAGTGACTCAAAAAAATTAATGAATGCGTAAATATATTTTATTGATTTAATCAGGAACTACAAAACCGAATGCTCTGAAATCTTGCAGATATTTTAAGGTCATAAAGACCATAATAAATGTTTAGTCAAAATATATTTGCTTATCCCCTCTAAAAACTTGATGACGTCAGCTCGAAAGTTTGCCGAATAAATCATATCTAAAATGTACAAAATATGATGAGCCTGTACTTGTCATTTATCACTCCATTCATATTTTTTGGATTTGCATATACAGAGTGACTCAAAAAAATTAATGAATGCGTAAATATATTTTATTGATTTAATCAGGAACTACAAAACGGAATGCTCTGACATCTTGCAGATGTTTTAAGGTTATAAAGAGCATAATAAATGTTTAGTCAAAATATATTTGCTTATCCCCTCCAAAAACTTGATGACGTCAGCTCGAAAGTTTGCCGAATAAATCATATCTAAAATGTACAAAATATGATGAGCCTGTACTTGTCATTTATCACTCCATTCATATTTTTTGGATTTGCATATACAGAGTGACTCAAAAAAATTAATGAATGCGTAAATATATTTTATTGATTTAATCAGGAACTACAAAACGGAATGCTCTGACATCTTGCAGATGTTTTAAGGTTATAAAGAGCATAATAAATGTTTAGTCAAAATATATTTGCTTATCCCCTCCAAAAACTTGATGACGTCAGCTCGAAAATTTGCCGAATAAATCATATCTAAAATGCACAAAATATGACCAGTCTGTACTTGTGATCTATCACTCCATTCATATTTTTTGGATTTGCATATACAGGGTGATTCAAGAAAATAAATGAAAGCGTAAATTTATTTTACTGATTTACTCAGGAACTACAAAACCGAATGCTTCGAAATCTTGAAGATATTTTAAAATGATCATAAGCATGGTAAAAAATTTATGACGTCACCCCAAAATTTTGCTGAAAAAATGCCATCTTCAATGTGTAAAGTATGATGAGTCCATACTTGTGATTTATCACTGCATTAAAATTTTTAATATTTGCTTATACAGGGTGTCTGAAAAAAATTAATGACGGAGTGAATTGATTTTGCAAAACTGAATACTTAGAAATCTTGACGTTTTGAAGTTATTGTAAGCGTGGTAACTGTTTAATCAAAATGTATCTCTTTATCAACCCCAAAAAAAATTCATTACGTCTTCTCACAATTTTGCTGAATAAAGTATATGATCTGACTATACTTTTAAAATTTTTAATATTTGCTTATACAGGGTGTCTGAAAAAAATTAATGACGGAGTGAATTGATTTTGCAAAACTGAATACTTAGAAATCTTGACGTTTTGAAGTTATTGTAAGCATGGTAACTGTTTAATCAAAATGTATCTCTTCGTCAACCCCAAAAAAAATTCATTACGTCTTCTCAGAATTTTGCTTAATAAAGTATATGATCTGACTATACTTGTAAAATTTTTGATATTTGCTTATACAGGGTGTCTGAAAAAAATTAATGACGGAGTGAATTGATTTTGCAAAACTGAATACTTAGAAATCTTGACGTTTTGAAGTTATTGTAAGCATGGTAACTGTTTAATCAAAATGTATCTCTTTATCAACCCCAAAAAAAATTCATTACGTCTTCTCACAATTTTACTGAATAAAGTATATGATCTGACTACATTTGTAACTAATCATTGCATTCAAATTTTTTAACTTGCTTATACAGGGTGACTCAAAAAAAGAAATGAATCAGTCACTTTATTTTAGTGAATAAATCAAGAATTGCTAAACTGAATATTTTGAAATCTTGCAGATGGTTAAAATTGATTGTGAGCATGGTAAATTGTTAATGAAAATATATCTGTTTATTCCCCCGAAAAAATTCATGACGTCATCTACAATTTTTGCCAAAAAAGTTTAACTCAAAATGTGCAAAATATGATGAGTTTTAACATAAGCAACTGTGGCCTGTGGTTTAGTGGAGGTGGAGTGTGCAGTGCAATTAGAAGTTCCGGTAACAGATCCCGGCACTTCCAACTTTTTTCGCCCATCAAATCAAGAACAGCACTTCCGATTTTCGCAACAATAATGTTATAATATTTATTTATTTGTTATTGTGTGTTCGTGAATAAGCACCATAAATAGCAAATGTTGAAATTTTTTTTTGTGATCGGAAGAATATCTCTTAATCATTTTATATATTGTCAATACATGATTAACTTCGACTGTTAATGTTTATACATCGAGAGAAGCAGAGAAAAAGTACATATGCATTTGCTTCAGTTACGCCACTGACCGTGTCATTTCTTTATCGCACGTTGAGACATAGTTTATATAAACAAACTCCCAGCCATAGCAAAAAGCGGAAGTTGGAAACGACGAGCGGCGTGGGGGGAATCACTTGTTTGGGTGGCGAGACGAAACAGTTGCGATTGCGAAATGCGAAGCCAATTCGAAAAAAACTGTTGAAGAGTGAGTGTCATTGAGGATATATATCTCCAAATTTTAAAAATTGGACCAAGTTATAATAATTGTTGCCAGGTAAGTGCAGATATTTTGGATTTGCATATACGGGGTGATTCAAGAAAATAAATGAAAGCGTAAATTTATTTTACTGATTTACTCAGGAACTACAAAACCGAATGCTTCGAAATCTTGAAGATATTTTAAAATTATCATAAGCATGGTAAATTTTTGATCAAAACGTATTTGGTCGTCCCCCCTAAAAAATTTATGACGTCACCACAAAATTTTGCTGAATAAATCCTATCTAAAATGTACAAAATATGGTGAGTCTCTTCTTGTAATTTGTCATTCCATTCAAAAAAAAAAAATTAATGAATGCGTAAATTTATTTTATTGATTTAATCAGGAACTACAAAACCGAATGCTTTGAAATCTTGCAGATGTTTTAAGGTTATAAAGAGCATAATAAATTTTTAGTCAAAATAAAAAGTTTGCCGAATAAATCGTATCTAAAATGTACAAAATATGATGAGTCTGTACTTGTGATTTATCATTCCATTCATATTTTTGGATTTGCATATGCAGGGTGACTCAAAAAAATTAATGAAGGCGTGAATTTATTTTATCGATTTAATCAGGAATTACAAAACCGAATGCTTTGAAATCTTGGGAATATTTTAAAGTTATTATAAGCATGGTAAACTTTTGTTCAAAATGTATTTGTTCATCCCTCCTAAAAAAATTGATGACGTCACCCTTAAATTTTACTGAATAAATCCTATCTAAAATGCAAAAAATATGATGAGTTTGTACTTGTGATTTATCATTCCATTCATATTTTTTAGATTTTCTTAAGAGGTGGTTCAAAAAAATTAATGAAGTCAATTTATTTTATTGATTAAATTAAAGGCAACACTTATTATTAGTATTACACCCCAACCAACCCAATTTGGTAGACAAAAAATTTGTTAAAGGAAAAACTCGGTTGAAACATAAGGGTAGCATGCTTACTTACATCGACTTTAACATTACAGACCTGCATTTGTTTTATGCGTTCACTTGGTTCCGCGAATGTGAAATAGACATGTTTATAATCAACCAATTGTGAATTTCACCGTCAAGAATTAAAATAAAACCCAATGTTTTATATAATAAGCGGAAGTCGAAGCAATAAAACCGATGGTCGTTTTGTTTACAGTTTCTCTGTTTGACTCTCAAGTATGCTGTTACGCCTGTCATCTTAAATTAAGAATGTTTATACATACACGATTTTCAGCTGCCTGGGATACGTATACGTGAGTAAATTGTTTCGTTATTTTATTGATTATTACAAATCAATATTCAAAACGACCCAATTCATTTTCCCGAAAATTTGAGAATATAATAATTTTATTCTTAGTATTACACTACATCTATCCCAAACTGATATACGTGTCCTTGCAAAAATGTTGATGACGTCATCGCAATTTTTTTTTAAATTCCCACTACAAAAATGTAATGAGAAAAAACACAATAGGCATGCAGTCGTCAAGTTTCCGACAGCGAGGGAAGTACTGTCTAAACTCTTTAGACCAATTTTTTATTATTTAAAATCATAAAAGTATTGCAAATAAAAGTCCATAACTGACAACTGTTACACTGGAAGCAGATATGTATTTATTTATGCATTTTAAATGAATTATATCTGGTCTTTGAATTCTTCTAATGACATAAATGACATTTTTACTTCCCGAGTGCAAGCGAAGGAGGTATTGTAATCGAGTCCGTTGACCGACTCTCTACTTTTACATTTTCTCCACCTTTCATGACTCTTACAGTACGAACAAATCCGTCTCCTGTTTCCGTCTGTCTGTCTGTCCGTCTATCTGTTCGTCTGTCCGTCTGTCTGTCCTCCCGGATTTTTATTAGTCAAATAATCTCCGAAAGTACTGGGTCGATTGCTGTCAAATTTTGTATTTATATTAGGAATATCATCTAGATGGTAAAACAAAACCAAAATTTGGGGACCCCGGTTTTCTTTTTTTTGAAAATTTAAAACAATCTTGAGGTTCTGGGTTCTGTTTGGAAATAATTTGAAAGTGCTTTGGAGCCTCTAGTGTCTTTTCTTGTAATAATTTAATTAAATTTCGTAGAGGATACGTCATTTGCCTAAATCGGTCTTATTTTAGCAGCTAATAACCCCGCCCACCCGCCCTCTCTTTTCTTAGAAAATATGTCATTTGCCAAAATCAGTCTTATCTTACTAAATACTGATGACTAACTTTTACAAAGAATGGTCAAAATTTGGAAACATTACGAGCTTACTTATATGCACAAAGCAGAAATTTTGAACATCTCTAGTGTTTAGTTGGTTATGGTTCAACAGATTTTTCTTTTGTTGTTTTTGTTGCTCGATTACAATATGTACTTCCTTCGCTTAGGCTCGGGAAGTATTGTAATCGAGTCCGTCGACCGACTCTCTACTTTTGCGTTTTCTCGACCTTTCATGGCACCTACAGTACGAAGAAATAGGTCTTTCGTTTCCGTCTGTCTGTCCGTCCCGGATTTTTATTAGACAGATAATTTCTGAAAGCCGATCGTTGTCAAATTGCGTATCTAGGTAAAATTTTACAAAGAGCACTTCTCGATTTCGTACAAACTGTTTGCACAGAACTCTTCTACAGGACCCCCTGATCACGTTCCGCACCTTCAAATGTTGTGGAAATGCTTACTTTTGCCACAAAAAAATTGTTAAATTTCCCATTTGCACACTCTTCAATGGGGTCGTTTCGAACATAACCTAACTTTTTATAGTCAACAACACGGGTAGGTGTAATATCGGGTTTTTAGTGGAGGCAGGGCGCTTCGCGCCCTGCACCCCATTACAAACATACCCCTAAACGTGGCAGTTCTTGCTCCGTGGATCATTTAGTTTTTGGAATTCGTGCGAGTTCAACTGTGTGTATAGTTGGTTGCCTACATGCGGCGCAACTAATAGTGTGCAAACCATAGGGCGAACACTAAATATTTTTTTCTGACACTAGGAAGCATTTCCACAACTTTTGAAGGTAAGGAACGTAATCAGGGGGTCCTGTAGAAGACTTCTGTGCAAACAGTTTGTGCGAAATCGAGAAGTGCTCTTTGTAAAATTTAACCCGTATCTATACTATAATAGGTAGATGATAAAACGTTAACCAAAACTTGTCTAATCATACCCACCAATAATGTGATGACATCACTTCAAAAGTGTGCATAGTAAATGGGTTCTAAATTGTACATATAAAATAACATCATCCTACACATGTGGTTTATGAAGCCGTGTTGAGCTTTTACCCGAAACGTCCAGATTTTTGGAAAAAAATGAAAATTATAAAACAACATTTCGCAATTTATGTTTTAAAGTTATGATAAGCATGATACAATTTTGAATTATTTAATTTTACAGATTAATATTGCGCATTTGAATATACTGGCATCGTCATAAAAAAAAATCTAAAATCAACTTGTGTAATTTGTTGAAGAAACTAGCCTTGTTCGATTATGCTTTGAAAGAAAGGAAAGTTCTCTCTAAATAACTTTAGATCAATTTTTTATTTACCAGGTCATGTTTTAGCTTGATTAGTTTCTTCCTAATAAAATTGGTAACAGGTGGGGACAGGTAGCTTAGTTATTAAAATTTAATAATATCAAAGCTGTTATAATTAATATGCTTAAATTATTTTACTGATATAAAAAATCATATTTATTATGAAATGAAATTTGTAAGGCATGGACGTACAATTTAATAGTTAGATTAGCGTGTAAGCAATAAGGTGTTAAGCTAAAACAAAAATATTTAATTAAATTTGACTTCCAGACGTTAACTTTGAATGTTTAAAAACAGAAGTTTAGGTGTACATATATGAAAATTGTAAAAACATCAATAACTTTGTGATGTACCTACAACTATATCGATTCACGAATAACCATCCTTGACTAAGAAAAATAATGTATTTGTTAAAAAACTGTACTATACAAGTTTATACGTAAATTACCATTTCAATTTTAAAGCAAAATCTCATTTTATCCCACAATCCCCTACATTTTTAAAGCTAATAAATTATTGCTATAGTAAGCAGTAAGCTAACAAGTCAGATTTATGAAAGTAACATTTTTGGACTTGATAAAAAAGTTAAGGTAAAACTGCAACTGACAGATTTTTTTTAAGTTTCTTAAAATTGTCAACACTCATTTTTCAGCTTTACCACAAAAAGTTGTCATTATTGCTGAAGTGTTATTATTAACGAGCGATTCCGTTTCAGCTAATTGTGAAAAAGATGTGGGATATTCCCTGTATTGATATTTCTGTCAAACTGTCATAAAATGAGGTCACCCTTACCGAATAAAGATTATCATCGTAACAAAAGGTACATTTGTAAATTGCGCGGAAATGAAAAGTCAAATCATCCAGCTCTCCACTTAGCTTTTATCTGCGTCATAACACCTCATTATTTGTCTCATCATTTATCAAGTATTATGGGCAGAAGTTGTATTTTTTATAAACTTACATACTTTTACATTCTACTGTTATTTTAAAATACCAACAATTTGCTTTTATTATTATTAGTATTATTATTTTTATTGCATTTTAGTGTATCAGAAAATGTTAACAATAAGGGGAAAATAGTTGCTCTATTCACGTTTTTTTTTTTAAAGAATGCTTAAAGAGATTATTTAAAATTGGAAAATAACTGCAATATTTTCTTCCTCGAAAAAAAAAAGTGTTTAATTTTTATATAAAATACTAGTCACATACCACTTCCACTCTTGATTTTCTTTAATGGTGAGCGTGAATATCCCTTCAAAAAACAGCAACAAAATAGGCGAACTCAAGTACCAATAAAACGAATTTTTCTTAAAAATCGTCACTTGCCAAATTGCAACGAACCCATGAGCAGCAAAAACCAATCTCGTAAAAATTGCCTTAATCGTCGCGATAAATTTCGCCATAATTTAAATTTCGTCCATCTCTTACAAAAACAAACAACATTTCAAACTTCTGTCATACATTTTACGCATGCACCTGAAAAGCCGATGTGGATCAACCCCTAATTATTTAAATATGCCGCAAAATTTCCTTGCGACATCTACCAATGAAAAATGGCAATCTCTGACAATTAGGTGAACATAACCTCGAATCGGTGACGTTTTGTTAAGTGAATTGTAAATAATGAGGGAATTCAGTTGTATTTTAATTGTTCTTAACTATCATGTGATTTATTGTAAACATACTTGAATTGTTTATCTATTATTGAGCGTAAATAAGTGTCTAATCTGCGCTGTGTCATTGACCAAGACTAATGTCTTAATGCGGCACACTGATGTGATTGACTATTTTAGAGATGGATACGAATACTTTAGGATGGATTGGTTTAATCATCATTTTGTTTTTGACGTCGTTCGGATTATTTTCGTTTCTTACTGTAGTTTTAGGATTTCTTGCTTTTATGCTGGGGTATACAATGTTGCTAATTGGGTGATTTTGTTGTTGAGCGTTGTGTTGTAGATTGTTTACGTTGTTGTATCTGAAGCAGGGGGACATTGATAAGTTTTATAATCAATGTGCGGGAAACCCCCTCACAGCCGATATACTTCCAGAGGGCGGCCTGCCACAGGTAACCTATTTTTGGTTTAAATTGTCATTTATGCTTTTGTTTATTATGAAAACAGGTGGTCAAGCAGCTCACAAGTCCACAAAAAGTACAAAAAGCTGATAACAGAGTAACAGGAAGTGAGTTAATAGACAGCTCCTTGCAAGAAATATTAGGATACATTATTCGAGATTACATTTCACCATGGTATAATCTCATTTCTAAAGATTCAGAATTTACGAATACTACTGTGCGAAAAAGTGCACAAACTTTTGCAATAAACATATCAAACAGGTAGTACTGGATGCACAACTAATTTTTTTTGTTACATTATGTTTGCAGGGTGAAAGAAATAGATTGGATCCCTTATCTTACTACGAGATTAGTTGATGATGCAGCTTCTCATTTGCGTTTGTTCAAACAAGCTCGCGCGAGAATGAAATTTTTAGATAAATCTAAAACACAAAAGCATTCGCCAGTCAAGGAGCCGAAAACTTCACCAAAGAAAACGTCTCATAAAAGAAATAAAAGTGAAACAGATATTACGTGGTACCATGGGAAGCCCAGTGATATAAAAAAGGGTTTGTGTACTTTCTTTGTTTTTGAGAAAGAAAATAATGATTTTAATTGTAGAAGCGGAAGTTAGTGTGGGTAATTCAAAGTTCTACTTAACTGAATCCAAAAAAAGTATTACACTTGAAGATCATTTTTTTGATTTGGAATGCCAAATGGAAAGTAATTTAGTATGTAGAGATATTGTCAGTATGGATGTGGCCAAAGAAAAAGGTTGTTTATTTGTTGATAATAATTTTTACATTAATGTTTTTTTTTATTCAGAATTCCTCTGTGAGATTGTTGAAATATTGTTGTATATTCTGCTGCCTGATGAAGATTTCCAGTGTAAACCTTTGCGGTATGTTTTGAGAGAGCTTTTTGCCAATTGTGTTGTTCAACCTCTTTTTACTATGTTGTCTGATCCTGACTACATTAATCAGGCAATCATCTGGCTGGTTAGTTTAATTTTTGTTCATTGTTTTAAACTTACTAAATTAATTGTAGTGCTTACGTGATGGTTCTTTACCCAGTGAAATTTTTTTAACTACTCTGAGACTAACTGATAACTGTGATGAACTAAAAAGTACCAAAGAATTAGTATTGAAGGAAATACAACAATTGGTAATATTTTTTGTTCAGTCATGTTACACCTTGTAATTTTTGTATACTATAGAGGTCACGTGATTCAGGAGGAGAAAGTGATCTTGCAATAAAACAACAACTAAGTAGTTTGTTTTATGTGTTGAAATTAATAGAGACTCGAATGACAAAAATGGAGGACACAGAAAACTTAGGTACTAGTATTTTCCAAGCGCTAAATAACCACATTCACTTAATTTTTTGTAGATACCCAAAACACTTTTGATTACATTCAACTAGAAAATATTAAAAAAATCGACTTAAAGTTGAATCAGATTTTAAAGAACAACGTCGCCCTGTCGTATTTCATTGATTACGTTTCTAGCCACAGGAAGCAGTTAGATTTATTTTTTTATCTGAACATTGAAGGTAAAGAAAGCCAATTATTTGCAGCTGTGATGGACTTAAATTTAATTTAAATTTTATAGGATGGAAAGTTTCCGTGGAACAACAGTTATCAGATCTCCATATAAATAAACTAAAAGGAACAAATGAAAACCCTGCACCTACATATGAAGCAATACGTTCAACCGCTCAGAGTATCTACAACCAATACTTGGGCGAAAAATCAGATCAACGTGTTTACGTTAAGCCTGCTCTTTCCCAGAGTCTCCACTTCAAGATTCGAAATTTGAACGAAATTCCGAGCGAATTGTGGTTCGACGAAGTGCAGCAAGCAATATATGATAAAATGGAAAACGACGAAGAATATCTTCCCGCTTTCAAAAAAAGCAAAGCTTATGTTAAGCTGTTGCAAGAGTTGGATTTAGTACAACAAAACGTAACTGAAGAAGATGCAATTAGCTTGAATAGTAACGAATCTATTGAAATGAATACAGAACAGTCGAAATCTTCATCTGAACAAACAACGCCACAACAGAATAATTTATTTTTGGTGGCGGATAGCAGTGCGAAAAATGTGAAACATGCAAGGTCTTTCAGCGACGTTACAATGTTTGTAAGTAAAAATCATGAAGAGTTGAAAACACAGAATACTAGTCAAGGCGATAGAGACGATTTCGTTAAGTATGAAACGGATGAAATACTAACAGTAGAGGACCCAAAAGTGGTAGAAAAAAGTCTCAAAACGGGGGAATTTATTTTAAATGTGAACATTATTGAAACAGGTAGGAAATAATGACACCTTAAGTTGCTTTTGTATCTTAAAAAAAAAATGAAACATACAGTTTTGAAATCCTTATATTCGTTATAAGAAAAATAGGTCCGCTATTTTTTAGAATAAAATATTACAACTATTTAGTTGATTAATTGCTAATTGTTGTGGACTCGTTGTATACCGAGTGTCTGGAAAATGGCGGATTAACTCTCCGCTACGGTCTTAACAATCAACTGGTGAGTCTGCGAAAAATAGTTAAAAAAATCCTTCTCACATTTTGGTGGAGTTATAATGATTTTAAAATTGGTTATTTTGCTACATTTAACAACTAAATAACACATTCGTTATCACAACAACTAGTAATAAAACTTTTTGTTAAGATTTGTCTCGCCCATGACCATGTTTAATTACCATTTCAGTTAGCATGTACAAAGATATGGTTGTGTTGTTTTTGTAATAATGTTTGCCTGATATAAAACGAAGGTACATATCAGCAAAAATCGAGTAAGCAGTTAAAAATACTACGTTTAAAATCTTCGCAGTTAATTTTAGGTTCCCAGGTGTTTTATTTTCAAATAAATTTAAAGGAATCTGGTGTTTTGTTGCTGGATGAACTTAAAAAAATCTTTTGAGCTTTTAGTGTTTTACTTTTTATGAAATTTGAAAAAGTCTTAGTGCTGCAGTATTTGGGTACTCATGGTGTATTATTTTGGGAGCCCAGGGAGATTTTTTTTGTAAATTATATGTATAAAACAATTTTGGGGAATTTTAATGTTTTATTTTTGGAAAATTCTGACATCAACAATCTTGAGGTTCTCGGAATTCCTGTTCGGAAAGAATTTGAAGGTGCTGTGGAGCATCTAGTATCTTTTCTTATAATAATTTAATTAAATTTCTTAGACAATTCATCATTTGCTAAAATTGGTCTTATTTTAACAGGTACTAGCCCCGCCCACTCGCCTTCTCTTTTCTTAGAGGTTATGTCACTTGCCAAAATCAGTCTTAACAAGTTCTAGCCTCATCCACCCGCCCTCTCTTTTTTTAGAGGATATCTCATTAAAAAAAATCAGTCTTATCTTAGCAGGCACGAGCCCCGCCCACCCACCCTCTCTTTTCTTAGAGGATATCTCATTTGCCAAATTCAGTCTTATCTTATCAGGTACTAGCCCCGCCCACCCGCCCTCTCTTCTCTTAGAGGTTATTTCATTTGCCAAAATCAGTCTTATCTTGGCAGCTACTAGCCCCGCCCACCCACCCTCGGTTTTCTAAAAGGGTATGTCATTTGCCAAAATCAATTTTATCGTACCAAGTACTGATGACTAACTTTTACAAAAAATGGTCAAAATTTGGAAACATTACGAGCTTACTTATATGCGCAAAGCAGGAATTTTTAACATCTCTAGTGTTTAGTTGGTTGTGCTTTAACGAATTTTTATTTTGTTGTTTTTGTTTTTACTTCCCGAGCGTAAGCGACCGACTCTCTACTTTAAGTTTTCTCGACCTTTCATGACCCCTACAGTACGAAGAAATAGGTCTCTCGTTTCCGTCTGTCTGTCTGTCTGTCTGCCGTCCCGGATTTTTATTGGACAGATAATCTCTGGGCCGATTGTTGTCAACAATAACAAGGTGACGTCACTTCAAGATTGTACATAGTAAATGGGTTTTAAATTGTTTGAAATAACGTTGTCCTATACATGTAGTTTATGATTCCGTATTGAGTTTTTTTTTCGAAACGTCCAGATTTTTGGAGAAAAGATTAAAATTATCAAACAACATTTTGCAATTTAATCTTGAATCTACAAAACCGAATGCTTTGAAATCTTGCAGATGTTTTCAAATTATCATAAGCATGGTAAATTTTGTATCAAAATGTATTTGCTCATCCCCTCTAAAAAATTGATGACGTCACCTCAAAATTTTGCTGAATAAATCCTGTCTTAAATGTGCAGAGTATGATGTAATTTACCACTGCGTTAATATTTTTTAGATTTGCTTATACAGGGTGTCTTAAAAAAATTAATGACTGTGTCAATTTATTTTATTGATTAAATCAAGAAATGTAAAACTGAATACTTTGAAATCTTGCAGACGTTTTGAAGTTATTGTAAACATGGTATCTGTATCTGTTTATCAACCCCAAAAAATTGATTACGTCATCTAAAAATTATTATTTTTGATTTGCTTATCCAGAGTGACCGAAAAAAATTAATGAATCAGTCAATTTATTACTGATTAAATTAAGAAAGAGCCACCCCATTTTCTAAAAAATGTGAGAATCTGCTCGTCATTATAACAATAAAATAATGACAAGGTAAGAATTATAATAATAACATTCGGAATATTTTCACCTGTTTTGAGGCGATAAACTCATTAAAATCAAACAAATGTCTACGTGACATTCTTCCGATGCATAAACATCAACATTTTAAACAATTTTTAATTTGGTTATTAGAAAATTACGATTTCGTTTTCGACTAATCGTTTGTTGACACATATGATCACGAGATTGTGCAAAATGCAAAACTGGCCACTTCCGGGCGTTCCACTAATTTATGACTTGCAGCCAGGCAGCCACCTGCACAAAGAGCTGCCACCTGAGTTGTGTTTGCAGTATTGTTTCTTATTTTATCTTGCTTTTTTTATCGTTCAGTAAAGTATACCGCACACTTTTGAAATTTGCATTCATATTTTTTCGATTTGCTTATACAGGGTGATGAAAAAAAAACTCAATTTATTTTATTGATTAAATCAAGAACTGCAAAACCGAATACCTTAAAATCTTGCAGACGTTTTGAAGTTATTGCAGCCATAGTAAATTTTTAATCAAAATATATCTCTTTATGCCAAAAAATTGATGACGTCATGTCAAAATTTTGCCGAAAAAACTGTCCAGATTGTGCAAACTACGATGAGTCTTGAGTCTATTCTTATGATTTATCATTGCATTAACAATTTTACATTTGCATGAATAGATTAATTTATTTTATTGATTAAATCAGAACGCCTCACTCCATTTTTCCCAAAATTGGGGGGGGGGGGGGCATAATACGTTATTATTTGTATTACTGCACCAACCTAAGTTGAAATACGTGTTCTTGCAAAAATGATGATTTTACGATATCAGAAAATTTTGTAAAATAAAAACTTGTTTGAAACATACGCGTACATTCTTTACATTTACTTTAGCATTACATATTTACATATGTTTATTTCAACTTATAGGGGTTCTTTTTACTTTTACAAAAGAATTTTTGTGTTATTTTTTTAGGACTTTCGAAACCCCCGTACATAACGTACCGAAGAGTAAATGCGCCATTTTCCAGACACGCGGTATAGAGATGCGTAAAATTTTGATAATTCAAAAGTGAAATTTTACACCACATTTTTAAGTTTTAACATGGTTTTAACCAAACTTAAAATATTGCATTCGGTCGTATGAATAAACATTCATCGGATCTTTTTCCTTGCATCATGCAGTTCTAAATATGATGTTGCAAGATGGGTAGCCCTTTAAAAAAAAATGAGTTGGTTGTGGTAGTTTAAAAATAACATGCTGATTTTATTTTGATAGTTTCAAAGTTGTATGTTTAAGAAGTTATGTGTCGAAGAGTAGAAACATTTATTATGTAAACTAGGTATTGTAAGCGAGAAAGGCAAGATGTTTGGAATTTACGCCATCAGAGTAAGTCGAGAATATGAAACAGGGTTCTTAGAAGAGTGGCACATCTATAGACGCTACAGTGACTTTTACGACCTTTACAGCAAAGTTAAAGATAAAGTAAGTCTCCAAAGTTAAATTTTGTGAATGTGCATTATTCAAGTAGTTTCCGGACCTGTCGAAATTATCATTCCCGGGTAAAAAAACATTCCATAATATGGACAGAGCTGTATTGGAGCGACGCATGAAAATGTTAGGAGCTTACATGCACGAATTGTGTAATCCCAACATTGTCAGAACTCACCATGGATTGCAGGATTTGTTAATGACGTTTCTGGAGCAAGGTGATTATGATAAAGCCACTGGAGGACCTATTTCAAGCACTGTAATATTTTAATCTAATTGAAAGATATTTATTAACTGGGTAATTTTAAGATTAACACTTTGGTGAATCCTCTCAAATCAGGCATGAAAACAATTAAAAACATGCCAGAACAATTGTTCAACACTGTAGATGAGGTTATGGGTGGTATAACGAAAGTTTTTCATGCGAAACCAGGTCGTCTACCGGAAGCTAGTAAAGTAGGAGCTTCAATAGAAGAGGCAGGTGAATTGTACATGAAGTAATAAATTCTAAACTATGTTTACAGACTGATGATAACATTCCACTAAGAATAATGTTACTACTAATGGATGAAGTATTTGATTTGAAATCTCGTAACCAGTGGTTAAGAAGAAGAATAGTCACTTTGTTGAGACAAATTGTGAGAACTATGTTTGGTGATATTGTTAACCGTCGAATATTGGAATACGTTTCATTAATAACAAGTCCAAAAAATGTAGCGCACTATTTATATGTCTTTAAGTAAGAAATTATCCACTTTATACGTTTTTATTGAGTAATGGTGATACTTTTAGGCAATCTTTCTGGCCAAATGGTATGAAGTATGAGAAAAAACCAGACCGCGATGACGACGTACGGAATCGTACAAGAGTGGCTGCTAAAGTCGCACTATTGTCGTGTTTATCAGGTAATTGTTTTTCTATTAAGGTGCGTCCCAGTTAATGATTTTTTTTTTTTTTAGATGAACTGAAACACATTATAGGCTCTGAAACTACGAGGAGAGGTTTATTGACAATTTTTGAACTCTTTCAAAGACCAATTTTAAATCGTAGATTACTCTATGTATTATTAGAAGGGGTTTTGTGTACTTTGTTCCCAGAGAAGGATATGTTTAAACTATTTCAAAAACTACACTCGAAGTCGAAAAGAATTCAAGATAAACACAATTCTCAGAACATGAGGTGATGAATTATTTATTTCGGAAATTATTAGGTGCCATTGCATTCTCCTTTTAATTTTAATTATATTGTATATGTTGCGAATTATTTATTCAGAGATTATGTTTATTTTTATAGCTAATTTGTACTCTTCTGGTGTGCTTAATTTGTTGTATATTTGTTAGAATAAAATATGAAAATTTTAATTTATTTGAATTTTTGACTATTAAATGTTACATGGGGGGGACTACGTAAATGACGAATGTAATCTGTGATGAACGGAAAAAAGAACAGGAATAGAATAGAATCGAAATTTTGTTCGCAGGGGAGACTACAAAGTTACTTATGCCATTAAAAAAAAATCATTCATCAGATCTAATCACTGATTTGTATACTGTACAATAGTTGTACATTATGGTATGGGCTCTCATTTTTGTAAATCCAATCAATAATACAATAGAAAGTGATTTTTATAGTTATATTTTCAACCTATTCTACTAATATAATTTCAATCTCTTGTCTGGTTCGCTTAATTTCAGGTTCTGTCTTTATCCGTTCTACAACATATAGGTTCTAAATTACATGAATGTTAAATGTTAACTGTATCAGATCTGGAAATGAAGCATCTGGGTAAAGAATATAAACTAACGTATAGCGATATCTCCTTCATATTTCTTGATCTGGGTACAATAAAATTTGGTGCCAGGAAATACACCAATCTGGTGCTTAATTTAAAGAATTCATTGTCGCCAACTTAAATTTGAGTGCGGATAAATATTACCAGAAATAATTATTATCACTAGAGAGCGGAAAATATGCAGTAATTTTCTTAATATATGCAGTTGCATACGCTCCAAAAATTAAAAAAAGCTCAATAACCGAACTAAATTTATTTACAAATTGCAAAAACAGGTTTCCCGTGCTTACCTTTTATTACAAAAAAATACATAAATCGCATTGCAAAGTGTTTAATTAGATCTCACTGACACATAAATCACATTTTTTAAGATAATATTCTTATATTAAAAAATAAATATAGGTAAACAGAACGAATTAAAAAATAGTACTAATCAACTATTTAATTACTATTTTGGTAACAATTAATTTTGAATATTTTTCGAAATATTCTAACAAAAAGTTTTTCCGGTGATAATATTCTTATATTAAAAAATAAATATAGATAAACAGAACGAATTAAAAAATAGTAGTAATCGACTATTTAATTACTATTTTGGCAACAATTAATTTTGAATATTTTTCGAAATATTCTAACAAAAATTTTTCCGCTGATTCTAAAGTATGTACTTATGTGTAAATAGAAAAACTGAGTATTGCGTCCACAGATGTAAAAATACTTACCGGTTTAGAGCAGGCGCGACAAAACACAGTTCCTTCTTGAAGAATAAGTTCAGGAAAAGGTTTAATCCATAAATTAATTTGAGTTATCTACATAGACACACCTGTGTCGTTTTAAATGCTTTGAATGCAAACTCACGATGAAAAACAATAGGATAACGTCCCTTCGACCACCATAAAACATATACCAGTCCAAAAGGTATAAGGTTATATGACCATCATAAAAGTAGTTGACCGCAAATAAATACCCCCTTTGTGTAGTTCGCACTAAGCCTACCGGTTGGCAATAAGTCGTCTTCTAAACATTTCTTGCTCACATTTAACAGGGCCGGCTTTCAAAGCGAGTGGTTATTTCGGAACCCTCAGCGGCTGCAGGTTGTAAAGAAATACTGGAGTGGTGGATTTACATATTTAGTGAAAGCCGCCCCTGAACGAAACCACAACAGCCGGTTCCAGTGGACACGTTATTTACTACCCTAAAACCTTTTCTATTGTGAACAACTTAACTTCAACACAATGGGATGATTTTATGATGGCCATATAACCTTATAGCTTCTGGTCTACTATACCATTAATACACTTAAGTAACGAACAAAAATATTCGGAATTAACGGTATTTTCAAAAGTAATCAGGACCCGAATTTACCTGGAAGGATGGCTTAACACCCGCTGGTTCCTCCAAACTACCATAAAACCCAAACCTTTCCCATTGTCTTTGCCATTTCTATTGAAACACCACCTGTTGATTTTGCTTAAAATTTAGCAATTGGTAACAGTTTTCGGTTGATTGACAACGGCTTTTAGTTAGAAAATTGTCTGAATTTGAACATTGCCAAATTTACGATTAACAAGTGGTGTTTCAACAGAAATGGCAAAGACTATACTTATTTGAAGCTCAGGACAATATTTGCATTATGATTCATGAAATTTCGTCTTTCTCGATAAATACCGATAGAATGACAATCTTTTTTTTTTCAAATTAGCACAAAAATTGATAAAAATGCAAAATATGCACCCGTTACATGAAATATGCAACACAAGGCAAATATATGCAAATATGCAATTTTTTTATAGTTGTATTCATTTTTAATTAGCATGATTCGCTCACATATTAATATTAAATATCAAGACTTATATGCCAAAAATAACGGATATGCAAATTTCATAAAATCCGCTCTCTAATTAGTATCACCAATATTACAACGATTGGTACATTTTTGACAAAAATATGACCACGTCAAAGACTTACATGAAATTTTCGTTTGATTTAAGAATAATTGTTGACTAACTAATTGAATTTTATATATCTGCGAAGATGATAAAAACTTACTTAGAAAAATACAAAAGCAGATTCGTATAATCAGGGGAAATATAATAGATTAGGAACGTCGATCGTGTATTTTCATTTCTGATGATTACAAAAAGTTTCATTTAATCATTTTGTAGACCAAAAACACAGACTAAAATTGTAGGGTTCCTTGAGGTCTCTCTAAAATTAAATTTAACCATACAGAGTGTTCTGATTTTAGGGCGTAACACAATTTAGTTTTTTAAATGAAACACCCTTGCCACGTTATTCCACTTGACGTGAAATTTTTTAGCACTGGATGAAGGGTTCATAAAAAAATCGCCAAAGAGTGATTTTAAAATTCTGTGTTACAATATTTTGTGAAGAGATTTGTGCTATAAATAAAATTAAATCTTCATATACACAGTATTGATAAAAATATTTTATGTTACAATTTTCAAATATAGCTATTTCAGTTTTTCCAAATGGAAAGCTCTGTATTTTATAATCACATCTTATTCTATTTTGTTTCCTTTCCTTTTTGTAAAGTATCTTCTATATTTAAAGTTGAAGGTTATTGCGATTTTTTTACTTGTTTTAAGAGACATATCGATATCACATAATAGTGAAAGAATAAGAACAAAAAATAGAGTAAGATATGGTAATAAATGCAGAGTGTACTATTTGAGAAAAAAATTGAATTTATTCTGTCTCCACTGAAATATCGATATTTGAAAATTGTAACGTTTCAGAAATTTTTTATAAACACTCTGTGTATATTAAACTTTGATTTAATTGGAATCACAACAAAGCGCGTACCTTTATATTTATCCTTTTACAAAATATTGTAACCCAGATTTTAAAAAGAACCCTATTTCAAGAAAATTGGTACCGTGGCAACGTCGCATCGGTATTGCAATAAAAACTGTGGTCATAAACATGGAGGTAGAATTGTACCTGCTTGGTCATAAAGCTTAGGACGAGGCTAATGGACCTAAGATTTATTACCCCTGAGGATTATCTCCAACTTTAACGATGCATGACTGAATAAGCACTCACTGGCTACAATGTAGAAAATCATGGTAACATTTAAAATATGAGGGTTTCAGGGAATAGATAATTAAAAGTGGCTTAGGATTTTCTATGGTATTAAGTGAACCTCTTATCTTTAACTTTCTTCATTACTAGCACAAAATATCAAAAATTAAAATTCTTGATTGTGATGACTGATGAGCTTTACTGGATCGTTCGATTAAATGATGGGGAATAAAAAACGCTTTTTCTCTTCGGTCTATTTTTGAAATATTTTTATTGGCGGCAACCGGTTTCACATAAAAAAAAATTACAAATCCACATAAAATGTCTATTTTTCGTATTTTATGAGCTGATACACTATACAAATTAAAATGCACTCTAAAAACACATACAATAAACGATAAAATTCTTTTCAAAATCACGCAGTCGTTACGTCTTTTGATTTTTCTGAGAAATAACTACAAAGAAAAAGCGTTTTTTATTCCTCATCACAAATTAAAATATTTAACGCCCATTTGTCAATTATTGTTTATTGTTTTTTTTTTTTAAGTAGCTCAAAAAAGTTCCAAATTAATAAGAAGAAGACCAGAGGACCAAAGTCTTTTAAAAAGCACTTTTAAAAAGCATTTGGTCCAACTTGAGCATTACTTAAGCATCTTTTTTTTTTCTATTATTTTTTTTTTATGGTTTATAATCCCTCTTCCCCCCTTAGTTACTAAACGCCCCCGAATGAGGGCGTTGCGAAAGCGATTATCTTTTGAACGAGCCACAATATTATTTGACATGCGCAGAAGTTGTAATGTTAGTTGTGAGTGGGCTTTTGCTCACAATTTCTCTTTTACCGACAGACATGGCGGACAGCGTGGAAAATCTGAGTACCGCGTTACTTTACAATTCTTTATTAACTATAGATAAAAATTTAGCAAATGTTTTCCAGAAGAAAACTAAAGCCGTAAGTAGTTCTGATTTTCTAATTTATTCTTTTGCATTTGCTTTTTTGTACATTCAGTGAATACAAAACCTCGTGTGGGAGGTCTTGAGCACGTGTTCAAAAACCGAACACGAGCTCATGAAATATTGTGTAATTTTCTGACTCTTTTATTTTAATTGTGTAATGTTTTTCTTTTCGTTTTTAGTCCGATTTACTCAAAGGCTCGCCAAATTTAAAGGAAGTTATTGCTCATTATTTGAAGGCTGGTCCCAAATCGAAAAAATTGAAATTAGTTTCTGTCGCTAGTGACGATAGTAGTAGTGAAGAAGACGAGCCGCCTAAGACTAATATTGTAAATGGACACATCAAGCAGGTTAAAAGTGCACAGAAAAAAGCAGAATCTAGTAGTGACGATAGTTCTGACGAGGAGGAGTCAACAGTCAAGACGCCAGCTATCAAAACACCTGCCAAGAAACAACCAGCTAAACCACCACAAAAACAAACTAAAGACGAAAGCTCAGATGAGTCATCATCAGAAGACGAAGCGCCGAAGAAGGCCCCTGTCAAATCCATCTTAAAAACACCGACTGTTGTAAGCAAAAAACCTCCAACTAAAGATAGTAGTTCAGATGATTCATCTGAAGAGGACACACCACCAGCTAAACCCACCCCTGCTAAACCTGTTGTGAGTAAAAAACCCGCTCCTAAGGAGAGCAGTTCAGAGGAGGACTCTTCTGAAGAAGAAACAAAGCCAACTAAACCTACTCCTGTCAAAACACCTGCTAAACCTGTAGCTCAAAAAAAAGAGGAAAGCAGTTCAGAAGAAAGTTCTGAGGAAGAGGCGCCAAAAGTGCCACCTAAGGTAAATCCAGTTAAAAAACCTGTTGCGAAGAAACCTGCACCTGCAGAAAGTAGTTCGGATGAATCGTCAGATGAGGATGATAAACCTGCAGTGAAAATGGCTCCCACTGTAAAAACACCTCAACCTAAAATTCAGAAAAAGGAAAGTAGTTCAGAGGAAGAATCCTCAGATGAAGAAGTTACTAAACCCATTCCTAAACCGGCAGTGAAGGCAACGCCTGCGAAAAAGAAAGCGGAAAGTAGTTCCGAGGACTCATCTGACAGTTCTGACGAACCAGCCCAAAAGAAGCAAGTACCAGCCCCAAAAGTTGTCAAAACTCCACCAGCAAAAGCCCAAGAAAGTAGTTCTGAGGAAGACTCAAGTGATGAAGACGAAAAAGTAGTAAAAGGGACTCCTAAACCTGCTGTAAATGTTAAGAAAGCGCAGAAGAAAGAGAGTTCGTCAGAGGAAAGTAGTGATGAAGAGGAGGAAAAAGCTCCCAAAGCCAAAAAAACAGTGACTACTTCAACTCCAGCTCCAAAGAAAGTGGCTGCTAATAAAGAGTCTTCTTCAGAAGATGATGACTCAGAAGAAGAAGAGACAGAAAAGAAAACTCCACAGGCTTCAAATAAACAAAATAAAGGAGTTAAGAGGAAAGCTGATGAGGAGGAAGATGAAGATCTTGTTTCTAAGAAACCTAATTATGGCAATTTTGTGAAGGCTGGACAAAATAACAGTTTTAATGGCAACAATCAGGTAAGTGAACATAAAACAACCGTAAACTGCAAAAATAATTATCAAAATAAATACTGTGTGGTTGAAAATAAAGTGATCAGGCAGACCATGAATAGCATTTTTTATTATTTTTGACCACACTGTATTATGTCTAGGTTAAACCTACATCAAGTTTATTGGAAATTATACTGTATATAGAATCAGTTGTACTGTAACAGTAATAAAATTGTATGTAGGTACAACTCAAACTGTCTTACTATAGTAGGATAAGTTCACGTTTATGTGGAGTTTGTTATATTTCAACATTGGAGTATCAATTTATAATTATTTTTATGTACTTTTACAAATTCTTCAAGTTTAAATTTTCAGTAACTTTAATGATTTGTATGGTAAAAACATTGTTGGAATGTAAACGACTCACTCTAAAAATGACTAATTAACCACGTGTTTGATCACTTCAGAATTACAAACGCTAACGAGTAATTTTTATGTCGAAATTTTAGCGTCCTGCACCATTCCGAAGGGTCAAAGACGAGGAGGTTCATGTTGATCCCAGATTGACAAACAATTCCTTCGAAGCAAAGGTAACGTGCGATTCCATTTGTAGGCAACTGGTACGCGAGCTGTCTCTAACTTCAAATTTATTTTTATTAAAAAAAAAAAAAAAACTACAAATTTCGCACGTTACCTGTAGATAGTTCGCGTACCCGTTGTACTAATTTCTCTTTTATTAAAATTTAGGACGAAGATGGAGACAAAGGATACAAAAACAACCGCGATTCGTTCGGGGACAATCGTGGGGGACGGGGCGGTTTTAGAGGCCGAGGGGGCGGCGGCTTTAGAGGCGGACGCGACGGTGGCGGCTTCAGAGGGGGACGCGACGGTGGCGGCTTCAGAGGGGGACGCGGCGGCGGCGGTTTTAGAGGTGGACGCGACGGAGGTGGTTTTAGAGGCGGGCGCGACGGTGACGGATTTAGAGGCCGCGGTGGGGGCGGGTTTAGAGGAAACGATAGGGGTGGCTTCCGAAGGTCGTTCGATGATAAGGATCAAGGGGAACGGAGATCGTTTGGAGATAGAGGGGGTCGCGGGGGCTTTCGAAAATCGTTTGGCGATAGAGGTGGTTTCAACAAAGGGGGTTTCCAACAAAGAGACAGTTTTGGAACGCAGAAACCCGCAGAAAACAAGAAAATCACTTTTGATGATTAGATGTTTTTAATTTGTAAGTATTCCCTGGAGCAGTCATTTTTGTTTGCTTTTAAAGAAATGTTGCTATTGTTGCAATTTTTATTCATACATTTTTTTAAGCTCTCCAATCCACCAGTTAGAGCTTTGTATGCTTTACTTGGTCGCTAATGAGAGCAACATCATCAAAATCGTAACCTGTGAGGCTTTTTCTTGTTGAAAAAGCCCGTGAAACGATTTTAACATTGTTATTATTGCACCTACTTTGCAAGGAAAGTTGTCTTACAGGAGTATTGTTTACAGTTTAATTCAAGAGGATCCTGGGGAGAGAAAGCATATTTGGACCTAAAACATACCCGGGGTAAATCCTTCAGACACGAAAAAACGAAGAAAAAACGTGGTTCGTATCGGGGCGGATTTATCGACACGTCAGTTAATTCAATTAAATTTGATTAAATCCTAGGTGTAAAATTACTCCATACAGTATGAACACGAGTTCAAAACTTTTTCAAATACTAACTTTAAAGAACAGATTGTAGAATTGATAATCGGTGTTATTATCAATATTATCATAGATAGTAACTTTCGCTATTTTTAAGTTAATGAATCTGTGATTTGAATGAACTGTAATTATTTTTGGAAGGTGTCTGTCCATGTCTGGTATTTTTTATTATGTCACTTTAGTACTCCTTTGGCGTTCCTTATTGAATAAGTTGCATTGTTTATAGCCTAGATTGTGTTTTACGTTTTACAATATGAGAAAGTGTATTTTGTTCAAAAAATGATATATTTCATAGTAAAATATTATTTGAAACTGTTGGTTTTTATTGAAATCTAAAAAATCCTTTCCAAACATCGTGTGGAGGTGTTTGCAGTAACGGTCTGGAATTTGATAGAAGTAATTTCACCAAGAAAGGTGACAGGTCATAAATTGCTCGACTTGTAGTCTAGCTAGCAGTGGCGTAACATCGATGTATTGAGAAGGGAGCCTCTGCTGAGTTATATGTCTTTTAGAGACAACCATACATATAATAAAAATAAATTTGTTTGATAAAAAATCGATTAAAAATAAAAATGTTATCAACTTATCACATATTGACATGAAAATCATAGAACATTTGGCGTATCATTTTCTCAAAATTTTCGTCTAATTAGTGACTTTCGGTACAGGTTTTGTTTTTGTCGGTGTAGAGAAGCTTGATTTTTTCCACAGATTTGGCTTTTCTTTGCTCTTTTGCTTTTGATACCTACGCGTTTTTCTAAATTCCAGTAGCTGCCCTGACGCGTTCTGTATGATTTGCTATGGGAATTGTAGTTCCCTTTTCAGCTTTTTATTTCATGAAATGCATGATTCCTGCTATTTTATCTCTGTAGTTTGAGAAAAAATGGGTTTACCTTTGCCAGTTTTTAAACTAAACATTTTCACTTGATTTAAAATCTAAAAAAAGGCAATAACGTACTGAAAATTGGCGGATTTTTTTCAAAACACTTCTTATATAGTAATACAACAAATTACAACACTTTATATTTACTAAAAAAAAAAAAACAGAAATAAAATTGTCTTGAAAAAGACAGATGTCTTAAAAACGAACTTCTAAAACACAAACGACCAACAAAACAAAAACAACGAAACGCGGGAAAGTAGTCAGCAAGCACGAGACACAGGAAGATAAATGTAGAGAAAAAGAAACAGACGAGACGAGACAAGAAAAGGAGAAGACGGGCAATGAGACGTTAACTTATTTGGACAGTTTCTTTTATTTTCAATAGGATTCCTATTTCTTGAAAGTACTCATAGTTACGTGATTTTGACGTTGTTGGTGTTTTTTGTTTTAAACAACAATTTTATTAATTTCTTATCATAATGCGGCATTAACAAATCTTTAAATTCGCTTTCTATAACTTCAACGTTAATAAAATAGAACACTGATATTCTTATTAACGCCAACAATATTTTAATGCTGCTGTACCCTTTCGTGGTGAAACCTACTCTATAAAAAAAATATATAGAAGAGGGAAAAACCGAGATTTAGACGAAGCATCGAATAAGAAAAAACATTGTGTATCTAAATAAAAAATATTGTATTTCTAATACTTATAAAAATCTTATAAATTAAATATAATAAATATTTTACAAAAAGTAAAAAAATATGAGCACGTTAACGATTAATTTCGCATTTATTCACCCAGCCTTAAAGCCTCGGTATAGAGGACATTGCACTAGCTTCCTGATTACTTTGAGAAGCATATTTTGGTCTACACACACAACCACTTTCAACTAGTACATAATCCTGCCCAGTCAAAGTAACTGGTCCCAAAGGAATAACTAAAAACAAATATGGGACGTAAGTTTGTGTGCATTCGCCTCGAACGACGTCACATTCGGAACTTTCGCAGACCTGGAAATAAAACAATGTTTTAGTTTATGACAAGTACATGTTCATAAAGCCGCACACCATTTTTGTACTCAATAAAATTTTGCAACCGAAAAGTTCATATAATAATAATAACAATTTTATTAGTGTGTAAAAACAGTGTGCGGAGAGTACATGAGAACAGACATTAAGTACAAAATAAAAAATGTACACTTACTTCAAACACAACCTGTTGGAGCAAATCTGGAAATTTTTGCACTATTGTTACTGGTTGTCCTGAAGTCAGTGAAACTCCGTACATTGGAGCTGTGGTGTTGTATCGAGTTTTGCATAATCTCGAGGGGGTTCCTGTGCATGTGTTAGCAGGGGACATGTTGGTTGCTCGGGCTGTAACAAATACGTGTTATGTACATTATTGTTTGAATAATCAAAGCTATAGACTATAGTTAGGAGTGGTAAATGAAAAAAAAAACATCTAAGAATAACACTGAAAATTACACCTCATTGTGATTTGTAATTTTATTATTATTAATTGTCAGCAGATATAAAATAAGCCCACTGTCTACTGCGATGTCAGTTATAGCGGTATGTTTCCAGACCTTTTCATTCTACGACCGTCGTTTGGGTAGGACAGAAAAAAGTACAATGTATCAGATAGGTATAAAAGTTTTTAGTCAAATGGTGAAAAAGGGAAACATAGGTATTTACAAAATTCAATGACATGTTTTTCTCACAATTTATGTTTTTTTGTTGTACCTATCTATTCTTAATAGTAAAGGATCATTTTGTAAAACGGTTGTATAAATAAACAACCATTTTTTCAGTTATGATGATGCAAGAAGGTGACATGATTTGTTTTAGACAAACCATTTAGTTCAGTATATTTTTAAGGGCGTGGAAATATTCACTCAACCCAAAATAAACTACAGAGATTCAAAATCAAAATTGTTTTTATTAATAAAAAAATATCTTTGAAGGCTTTTGTCTGAACACTCTGAACAATTCTTATGTGATAGATAAAAATGTAGTTCATGTATATAAGAATCCGCTAACAAATTAAACACAATTTTTCGAAAGTTAAAAAAACACAAGCCTATGTAATTAACCTGTAGATGGTAAAGCGCCAGCTAAATTTATCTCATCATCCACAGCAACAATTTGATGACGTAACTTCAAAATTTTGCATGGGAAATGCCGTTTGTGGTTTATGAATCAGCTTTGTCCATTCGTAAAAAAACCAAACCTGTATAAGATTTTACAGTCTAACTTAAAAAATAAATCCCACCTAAAACGTGCACAATATTATGATTATATACTTGTGGTTTATCAACACATTCACATTTTTTACAATTGATTATATAAGGTGACTCAAAAAAATTAGTGAATCAAGCAGACCAACTCAAGAACAGTTCCGCCCAAAAATTTTGTTATGGAAAAATTAAACTTAACAGTCCACACATATCTTTATTGTAATTTATTTATTCGAATTATCACAAAAAAATAAAATTCGTAAAATTACATTTTATAATTTTTCAAAGAAGCTGGATTTGTTCAAGTGTATTTCAGGGGCAAGGGAAGTTCTGGCTAAACAAACTTAGACCAATTTTTTTGTCCTTGTCCACATCAGACAGTGTGTGGTCTGTGGACAACTGTCCGTTAATCTGCCCGGATGTAACTCTCAGCCAATTCCTGTAATTTACAGTTATGCAAAAAATAAATGAAAACAATATAGCGGAAATCCAAAGAAACTTGTTTCTGCATTTTTTGACTGTCACCTAGGCGATGTCTGTTATTATTTTGTTATTTAATTTAATTGTTTTAAAATTGTGTGCGTAGTTCATCGAACTTTAGTGTATGCATACATAAATGCTATTTAAAAATGTTGATGACGTAATAACTTTTAGTTTTAATAGCGACAAAAAAAAGTTCTCAAGTTTTTTGGGTTTAGATTCACTTTGTCGGGGATTACTTTTCAACATCACTCTGAAGTGTTTTTGGCCATTACATATAGTTTAAACCTCAGTTGTGAGATGTTTGTTAATTAACTGGTTCGTGGTTTTCAGTAAATTAGGTTCTCCTGTAGAAGAAATAAAGTTTTTAATTTTAATTTATATTTCTTCGTATTTTTTCTTATTATAACTTGTGGTGATTACCACTGTTGCGTCGACAACATTACAGTTACCTAGATAGACATATTTTTTCTGGAAATATAATTATATTAAACAATAAAAAGTGAGAATAAATTCACGGTCTGCAGATACACATCATACTTAATTATCTCTTTAAATTTGAAAAGAGTAAAATTATTATAGCAAATCATGTCACGTCCATTAAGTAAATGATAATAATATAGTGGCTAGAGGTAATAAAAAGCAGAAGACCGTGCACACGTTCTCACGTCAAAGGAAGTACTAAAATAGTTAGTCCATGTAATTGTATGGAATGAGGAATGAGAATAAAAAGTCGCTCACAAAGACAATAAATCCTAATTGATCCAACGAATTTGAAAGTTCAAGTACATGACTAACACTACCGCCAAGTACAGAGCGACAAAGTGTGTCGTTTGCGGTAATATTTAGGTTACTTTGCAGTACAACAATATGGCCAGTTCTGTTACCTCTTTAAAGAACTGTTACAGAACAGGTTCTCACCCATTATCCGTTATCAGCAGTTATTTAATTGATATTATTCTCAGCTGCCATTTATTAGATTAAAAACAGACGCTACAAGTAACCGTAATAACAGAAATAATTGTGTTAATGTAAAGATTTATGGCAACCGAGATCAGAACACGCCGTCATTTTTTCACTTCCGTTTCTAAGAAAACCGTCTGTATAAACATAATCATTTCCTACCTGTCCTAGAAATTGACGGCGAATTTATGTCGTCGAAGTTGTACTTGTGAGCGGCCAGCAGTGCTTTTTGCGTAATGAACGGATCTATCGTTTTTCTGGATCTTCCCGTCCTGGAATTTCCGGTCCAGAGGTTTGAGCCCCTAAACGACCTTTCGATGGCTGCGCTGGACAAAATTTAAATTACTATTTAATTTAGTAAGATTTTTAGTGCTAGTTTTGTTTATTGTAACTTACGTTGGATAAGGGGCGTCATTTGGTCCTAGGCAGTTTGGTGAGTCTGATAGTGCATCACCCCATAAGTATTTAAGGCCGCCACTGCCTTCACATTTGGTAGGAATTTTCGCTAATACTAGGTTTAAGATAGGTAGTAACGCTGTTAAAATCTGAAACAAAATTAAAACATTGGTGAAGTGGAACATCACTAAGGCGTAATAATAGACCACCAACAATTTTGTAAATTGTAAATGTCTTTTGTGGTTGAATAAATGTTAACAGAATATGCCCTAGAGATGTAGGTGTACATATACTTTCTGTTAATGCAGTTATGTACACAAAGTATTCATTTTTATTGTTTAATAAACTTTGTAGTTTGTTAGCTTAAAATGTTTGTTAATATCTGTCATGCAACAATTGCAAAGTTAATTATTTATGCGAGACCTTAGATTTTTATCTGTTCGATCACACCGGAAATTTTAATGCGAAGTTAAGCGACGAACCCAACAGTTATTAGTCTACATATTAAATTTTAATGAGTTCAATCTATTTAATTAGTTTAATGCAAAGTGCAATGTCTGTTAGTAACACTTGCTAACACAGTGAAGAGCTAACTGTATAGGAATAAAAATTCTAAAAATAAAAAAATCATCATTTAGTGACAACAAAAAAGTACAATGTATTTAACTACTTAGAACGTCAAACAATCAATACATTAAACACGTACTGTAGAAATTGATCAACTAAATAGAACGCATCATGATCAAGGAGAAATTTCTGAGTTTAGCATTAAATAATTGAAATCATATCAGTCTTTTGTAGTCCAGACGGATGTTCATTGCAATTTTTTCGGATAGGTTCTGGCTAACCTTTAACTACGAACATCACAATGAGATGTTGAATACTGGCTGATATTTTAACGGTCTTACGTATGGTATAAAATATGTACAAACATGGCAATGTCGTTGCATTATGGTTTATAAAAAAAGACGGCAATGTTCTCTTAGTCCAACCCACTCGATTAACCTAGCCATTTTCTTTTGGAGCCGGAACATATTTATGGCAGTGAGTTTTCGTACATTATAATGTTAGAGTGCAATGAAGCGAAATATACTTTACGACATACGTTTTAGATGAAAAAATGTTTCAGATGTGTATAATGCATTGTAAATTAACGTATTGTCGACTGGATACCTAAAAATTTGTCCAAACTAAGAATTAATGAATTTATAGGTATTAAATCATATCTACCTAGGTACTTTTGTTGTAGCTCCAGAGCTCTTAATTTTAATTCATAGATTAGTCATTTGACTTTAGTAGTGTTGTATCCTCATAGTACTAGCAAATTCGTTGATATAAATTAAAAATATAACTGTGCCTAAGATGGAAACTTGACGTGCACACTGCTGAACTTCAATAAAATTATAGAGTTTCGACCAGTGCTCTACATCCTGTTTCTTAGATAAAAAGAAATTAACTGCATCGAAGTGATACATAAAATTCTAGTTTGTCCACTTATGACTTCTAACTAACACAACCGAAAGCTTTACTTAAGTCATAAAGCGTAGCCGAGGCTAATTGCTCTTGGTCTAATGATTTAACTAAATATATTCACATACCTACCTATATTTAGGTAGGTATAAGTTATTATTATTCTGAATATTACCAATAGACTAAACAGGTCTATTCACAAAGAGACTATGAAAATTGCTTAAAAAATCTGAAAAAGACGAAATTAAGCAGTCATTCTAATTAAGACGTCGTTTTTTAATCCTTTATTTTTCCCATTCACCAAGAAGAATTCGATTTAGAAAGAAAGAAAATTGATTTGATTTTCTCTCGATTTTTACTTCCCGAGCGTAAGCTAAGCAAGCATTGTAATAGAGACCATCTCAGGAATGGTTACTTTTAAGTTTTCTTGACGTTTCATGACCCCTAGAGTATGATAAAGTATATCTCACGTTTCCGGTTGTCTGTCGTCTGTCTATATCGATTTTTATTAGGGAGATACCTAATCTCTGAAACTACGGACCGTTTGTTGTCAAATTATGTATATGTTAGGAATATCTTGAAGATGATAAACTGCTAACCAAAATTTATCAGATCGTCCCGCCAATAATTGACTGACGTCCCCTCAGTTTTTTTTTTTAGTAATCGCCATTTACATTTTATTTCCCTTCTACTTGTAGGTTATTAATCCGGCTTGAGTTTTTACCCTGTTTTTGTATTTAAATAACCTTACAACAATTTTTACCAGCAGACGAGAAAAAAGCCAATTTGCTCGTCCACTGCTAACTTGAGGACGTTTTTCGTTGATAGCACCTATTATTAAAAACCTAAAATTGTATTATTGTCTATTTCAGGAATGTAAATACGGATTGATGAAAAAATGAAGTATAAGCTCGATGGTAGGTTGTTAAGAAGGCTCTGAAGAACTGGAAAAAATGGTTAAAAAATTCCCGACACCAGACTTTTGAAAATATTGATCTTCAAAATTGAAGAATTAACTTGGTAATTCTGAATTGTTTGAATGAACTAACAGATAGTTAAATAATTAGTTATTAATAATTTAATAATAATTTGCTAGAATATACGATCCACAACGTCATTTTTTACTGTTGACACATGCCATTATTTACGAAGTTGTACTTATTATTACAGTAGAATTATTCTGAGGAATTCTTGAAGGGTCCCATTTCCCTGCGGCTAAATTAATGCTTGTCGATGACTATCACCCCAGCCTTACTTCCTGTTGTCAAAATTGACATGGTTGACAGTGACATTTAATTTCAATCAAAATTTGTTATCGATTATTATCAAAATGCCATAACAAAACTTTCTTGATCCGTTCAAAGTGACGTAGCGCCAAGCATTTGGATCGGTTTTGGCAACAGGGGCGCAAGAAAAAATTTTCAAAATTAGTTAATTTTGTTGCCATCTCAACCAATATTTATTGATCACGCTCTATATTACCACTACTTATTTTAAAAAGCAATGGCACAATGAAGTGTACATTTAACTGCGGAATCTTGAGTGACGAAAAAAAAAGTAGGTTGAAACTGCATGTCAAATTCAGTACAAATTGTTTTTTCTATTTTTTAATTTAATGTGTGCAATGATTCTGTTGAACAGAACTTTTTTATAATAAGCTTAGTTTCCGTAAAATAGTGCTTGCTTATTTCACAGACAATTGTTACGTAGTATATTATTAAATCACGTAGGTGAAGTCTTGTTCCAGACCTACGTATGAATAAATAAAACAAAAGTGGCTAGTACTTTGAAGTCTTATCACTTAAATAAAGTAGTTGATTATATAAACTTGTTTGTAATTTTATTTACAGCATCATTTTTTGAACTGAAATTTCCTACTTTTTAAAATATGGGTACCAAAAGCTACAAAAATTTCGGAATACTGAAAAATCACTGTCCAGTGATGTCTAATTTTTCGAAACAGTCTCATCGTTAAAGTAACATGTTAGGATTAATTACGTGATTAAGTTCCAAAGGTCACATAGGTGTACTAATTAGTATTTCGTAATTAATAGTATAAATCAAATAACTGGAGTGCAGCGAATGTTAGATACATTAACTAAATATTAAAGTAAAATATTGACTTTATTTAGAAAACTGCAAATACAACTGATTAGAAATGTAAGGTTTTCCAATGTATGGTGGTTAATAAAAGCAAAAGCTAATAAATTATACATTATGTTGGCAGATAGGAAGGAATATTGTTGATACGGAGGTGTACGCAAATCAAATGTTAAAAGCACATTAAAAATAAATGTTGAATGATAGCAACAATAGAAAACTTTTTTGATTTTTACTTTTTTTTATTTCTCCAAATAATGTTCGTAATACATGCAAATTGTAAAATAATAAAGAACTGCATATTTTGTTTTCAAATTTTAAAATATACAGAAGACATCAAGGAAAAACAACAAAGCAAAAAAGTAATGAAAAATTAGTAAGGGATATCTAAAGTTATTTAGACAGAACTTCCTTGGCTCTTGAGACATAGTCTATCACACAAAGTCAGTTTCTTAGACACAATATATCTAAAATTTCACAAAAGTCCATTGCTTTCTGTCCTGTAAAACCACTAGCAGAGGACGCGACAGATGACAGACAGACGGAAACGGTCTGATTCATAGAATCTTTGTTTTTTTTCGGGCACGCAATCAGGACTGTAAAGTATCATAGCATAATCCTAAGCAGTTTATTGGTGCCTTTTCATTTTCTATACAATTGGAGTGAAACAAAGACGTAAAGTTTATTTATTTTCGTGTTATTATATTAATTTTATTTATACATGTGTTGGAAAAACTGTAACTTATTCAAAATGTGAGTGTAACACTCATTCAGATACGTTTTTTAATTTGCATGTTTTATTTGAATGTGTAATGGACATCCGTGAGGAAAATAATCGTACTTCTGTTTGAAATATCTAAATGAAATGTTAATTGTCTAAGTAAATAACTCGGCATTAGCACTTTGACAATTTCTTTTGTCACGATAGTGAGAATTCAGGTAGTGCCTTACTTACCTACTACAAATCTGCAATATTTTAAAACTTGACATATCAGTACGCTACTTTCCTCGTTATTGAGGTTTTACGTTATACTTAAGTGAACTAGAATACTAGAATAATTCAGAACTTTTTACATTTAGTTATAACAACCCATATAAAAAATATTGAAAGATATCACAGTGTAAAATTTTCTCCGGTTAATTACCTAAAATGTGAACAAAATTTCAAAACATTCTAAAAATTTTAAAGTTAATTATAAACAACTCAGAAAAAGCTTACGAGGAATCTCAGACATCAAAATCCTTAAATATATAGAAGAATTATTTTAAACTAAGGCAGTCTGTGTGTTTTAAAGTATTCATTCATATTTATCATTATCAAAAACATACTATAGCGTAACACTGTAAATTCGTTACAATTTTTGCAAAAAAGGAGCAATAGACCCCTACACATTTATTAAAATATATATTTCCTCTAGTAACGAGATAAGGTGCTTTACACCCATTAGTATCCCTATCGCTTTAACGAGTTTTTAATGTTACCGAAAAATTCCAAAATATTTTTCAAAACACGCAGGTTGCACGTGCAAAACAAGTTCTTAAAAAAATAACGTTGTATCCACTGAACTTATTAAGACAAGAGATACCTGGTAGCGTCAAGATTTTCTCATTATATCTTAAACTAGCATATTCTAAGATAATAGGAGTTGTTGAAATTCTGTTTCTGTTTTATAAAATCTACCGTGAAATTTGCAATTCGTTCATGTTATTATATTTTCCACTTATTCTTTAACACGCTTTTGTAATCTATCCCGCTGTTTCACTTCAATACCATGTTACAATTTTATGCTTTATTATTACAACTGTATTACTTCTTTAAGTAACAAAAACTGAGATTTAGCGACGTAATGAAATCCGCATCAATCTCTGTTATTCAGCTCATTTTCAAGAAGATTAACACTGATAAAAGCTCGTTAAACGTTCTTTGTAAACAAGAAATGGTACTGGTACCTACTTCGTGACGTGAATTTAAACGAGCCCGAGTGTAGGTCTTTTAAAAATTAATCACGAAAAGTACCGTTTAATTTCTATCTCAACCTCATTTCGAAGCCCAGTCATCCCATACAAAGTACAATACCAAAATACCTAGAAACATGACATCACCGGTTTCTCTAAAAATTATCACTTGATCCGTGAAATAACCTAAATACGACACTGTCCTATGCATTGCATTGACCACCTGTCCAAGTACGTACCTACTCAAAGCGATACCTGATCATTGACCTCATCATATAACTGTACTTCAGCGTTTATGTGGGCTGCGGAGGGCAAATATTTTGAATATCGGTAAATCCGGATATCTTTCGCGACTCGAGTACGGTCCTGGACTATCGGCAATTTATGCACACTTTTTTTTTAATAGTGCAAGTAATATCGAGAATATAGTACTACATGCATATATTAAATTAGTAATGGATTATTGATTTATTAGTCAAAAAAAGTACTTACTGTGAAGAGCGTATTTCTGCTGAGATTCATCTTCGTCTGCGAAAAAATTATCCAGTTATAAAAACAAGCAAGATTCACTTGATACGTTGAAGATAAATAATTTGTATTTTTTCTTCTTTTCACTTTAAAATGACCAATCCATATTTCACAAATGAAAATTGCTTTTGGACTAGGAATCACTAAACTTGTACCGCGCGAAGCTTTCTGGTGGTCACTGAGTTTCTTGGAGCACGTTGATGGTACTTGACGATCTCGAGGATAATAGATTTGCTGATGCACGAAATAATTTCTTTGAAGTGTGCCAGTAGACTGAAGACAGAGTTGGTCTTGAACTTGTGAAACGGAAATGATATAATGTAGTACCTGGGAGGGATTAAAGAAGAACAAGAACAGTTGTTACAGTAAAGTGGGAGAACACCCTGTTTTCCTTATTAAAATATATGACTAGCAAAATGTTTGATGACTAGACAGGGACGTGTTATGCTCGAATGGATCAATTATTTATTTAGATGTTGCATTGTGATTTAAAATCTCAAATCACTTTTCATTTTTGTGTACACTAAAAAATGAAGAAATTGAGTTATAATTATAGTTTCCCAAAAATATAGTGACTATTATGTATATATCCTTACATATACTAAATTTTAAACTTTCTGTGAGAGTAGAAACCGTCAAGCCGATGATTAACCATTTTAATCATCAGTAATTTGGGTCATATATTTTTCGCTGTAGTGTGTGACTTATGTCTGGATCTTACAGACAAAAATTAATAAAAAATACTTGTAAGGAATGAATTATTCAAAAGCAGCTAGCGCCATTTCAGTAACACGGTATCCAATTTACCTAATTTTGATCGATTATGTTAGTCAGCAGGTCAATCTACTCTATTAAGGTAGCAGCAATAATAACATTAAGGTAGGCAGATGTAGGCCTACACGTATAAAAAAAAAACTGTTTAATTTGCATTATTCAACCTATTTTTAATAATGAAAAGTTCGCTTTAAGGGTAATAAAATGAATAATAATTTTATTACTTTGCTTTCAATATAAAATTGGCCTATTTTTAAACAAAATTATCCAATTTTTTAAGATCAAAAACTAACTAGATTATTTTTTATATGTAATAGGGTCCTTCCGACGAATGCTTTTATGATTTCTTGACGTATCATGACCCGTTTTGTTGTCTGTTGTCTGGCCGTCATCTGTCTGTGTCAATTTTTATTAGACATATAGTCTCCTAAACTACTGAACTGATTATCGTCAAATTTTATATATCCCTATGTTAGGATGATCGTATAGATGTAAAACGCTAACCAAAACTTGTCTGATCATCCATGTCAATAGTAAATGCTATTTACATTCGATAGAATAAGATGCTTCTGCACTTGTGATTCATGAATCCGTGTTGAGTTTTTAACGTAGGCATCTAGATTTTTCGAAAAAAAAAATAGAATTGTATAACAAATGCTGTGAAATGTTGCAGACGTTTTAGAGTTATCATAGGCATGAAAACTTGTTAATCAAAATTTATCTCAAAATTTTGCCGAATAAATACTGTCTAAAATATGTAAAATATTATGAAACTATACTTGTGGTTTATGAATGCATTCATATTTTTTACAATTACTTATACAGGATGACTCAAAAAAATGAATGAATAAAGCAATCCATCGAGAACGACTCACTGAATGTTGGTGAAAAATTGGCAGTACAGTACCATTATTATTAGTATTACATTGCATCTATCCCAATTGACATACGTGCCCTTCCAAAATGTTGATGACGTCATCACAAAATTTTGTAATGAAAAATTACACACATAAATAAAATTCGCAAATTCAATTCTTATAAGTTTTCGAAAAAGCTGGATATGTTGTACTATATACTTCAAGTTCTGTCGAAATAACCTTCATTTTTTTATAAGTACTAAGGATAAATTGATACTTTAGCCAAGAAACCCCAGTTTTTAAGTATCACAAAAATTGATATTTTTAATTGTCAAAAGTCCATTTTTAAGTGTGTCGTAAAACTCAATCATTTTTCATCTTTTAAAAGAGAAAAGAAAAAAAGTCGGATGTTATTAGATAGAACTTCCCTCGTCTCTGAAGTACAGTCAGCCAAATGAATCCAGTTTTTTAGAAAAATGTAAGAAAAAAGTGGCGTATGAGCTATGAGGTAATTGAACCCGTGGCCCGGTTACGCTTTCATATTAGTAAAAAATGTTGTCATACAATTTTGATTTTTTTTTTGTGAAAATCTGGATGTCCAATGCAAAAACTAAAAACGGGTTCATAAATTACCAGTATGTTAATTTATTGAATGTAAATAGCATTTATCATGCAAAGGTTTGAGGTGTCGTCAACAAATTGTTGGTGGGGATGATTAGACAAAGTTTAGAGTATTTTAGCATGTACACGATATTCCTAACATTATTATCTGTCTAATAAAAATCGACACAGATGACAGACGAACGAAATTAATGGGAGACCTATTTTTCCATACTCTAGGGCCGAGCGTAAGCTATATTATATTTTGATATAAAATTTTCTCGCACATAGATTTTTATATTTTTATCTGTTTTAATTATTAGGTACCGTAAGTGTAGCAAGAGTATTAGAATTAGGCAATTAGGTGCAGCTAAATTAGCTCAAAAGACTTTGAAGACGGGATAAAAAAAAAACAAATAAGAGTAAGGAAAAGATATAAAACTGATAAGAAGAAGGGGTTAAATATTATAGAAATATACATATAACATAATGGAGAACGACAAAACTCAGTGAACTTTCGAGATGTGTTTGCTACTGACATATTATCAGCAAAAATTAGAAAAGATTAATAAGGTAGTATATTTAATTTTCAACCATTTAGCACTGGATGAGCTATATAATCGAAACCTTCTATATTTTGATGATGTTGGAATTTCTTCACCAGAAAAAAATAAAATATATTTATTAACCAGCGGAAAAAAATTTGCATGGAATAGCTTAGGATACAATTACAGATGAACTCTTCTATTTCGTGTGGTTGCTACTGTATATACCTGCATACATATTATATGCTCACTAATATCGGGTAATTTTTAAATTAATTCTACTTTAGTTGGCCATGACGCTTACGTCAGTCATTTCAATTAAATACATTGCTAACGTACCCGTCATGGCCAACTCGAGCAGAAATAAAAAAAAAACACTTTGTAAATACGGGTCAATATTTTTATATCTTATAGTCTTTTAATCAAGTTTTAATCCAGAGTCAATTTAATTTCGGATCTCATGAGAGATCCGACATTAAAAATTTATTGCTTTTTAAATAACGGAAACAAGAAAAATTAAATTATTGGATATTGAAAATGATAACATTTTTTGTGTTTACAAAATAAAAATATTTTAACATTCATTTTAAATGAGAATATGTTGTCTTTAGGATATACAGAATTGTTGTCAGGGGATTTGAAGTTAGCTAACTTTAATTTCTTAGATTTGTAAATAAATCTTGCATATTTAATTTACACAAATAAGAAACTAAACTTTTAGGAGATAAGTTTATTTTTAGATCTAACGGATTCAAGTCCTGAAGTGTGAAACCTGTAACTTGTTTTGTTATAAATGAAAAAAAAAACACCTTATTTTAGAAAAACAAATATACACAGAAAAAGTTGCACATATTTTTATAAAAAAAAATAGCAGAAGCCTATGGAGGGGTTCACATTCTTTTTTAAACCAATGATATGGCGAAATTGAGGTAGTTGGGTATCACATTCAATGAGTTCCCGCAGAGACGGAAAACTTTTTCGGTTTAACGAAATCCTGGCCACAAATTTTCCTTGCGATGGTTTCGCTTTCCGGAGTTTGTAAAGGAAATTGTATTTATTCATTATAATTATGTATAATTCTCGCAAGGTAAGAAGATGTTCTACAAGTTACAAGTTATAATTGTGTAATTTGTACTAAAAACTATTATAGTTACTTTTTATTGTAAAGTGACTCTTGGTACAATTGAGCCAGCTCTTCAATTAAATTAAAGTTCTTGTATATTTGTGTATTGTATAAGTTCGCTGTAAGTTTTTATAGAAGCATCACCTAAATATATATCTGCCTCTTTGTAGGTGCAAATTGTAATATCTGTAAGCAAATGTACTGTAGTTTATTAATTTAAATATGACTATACATACTGTGTAATGACTAATAAGATTTTGAAAGGATTTCCAGTCCCGTATATAACACTTTTTGTGTATTTAACTAATTTTATTTGTTGTAAAGAATTTATATAATATATCAAAATCAAAGCGCTGAAGTCAAAATCTGCTGAGTGTCCATCATGTGTACAAGACTTTCGTACCCATTAAAAAAATGTTTGTGATACCTTCAGATCTGAAGAGAATTGGACAATTTTTTATTCATTGAAATCGCCTTGATTTTGAAAGAGGACAAATGTTTTGCTCTTGGACCAGGAAATGGGTGTTTTTGCAAAAAATTTGATTGACTTATTGGTCTATTTTAGGGGTGTAACAATATGCATTAAATACTTACGTGTCTTTAAAAATAGCCTGCTTTTACTGAAAAATAGGTTGTTTTTAAAAAATGTGCACCATGATGATACTTGAAAAGTATTTTTTTTTCGCTAGTTCCTGGATTGTATGTTTGTTAAAAAATGTGAGTTTGTTTTCTATAGGCAGCATAAAACGCTAACACTAACAAAAATCAAATTATAGCTTAAAATGTTTAAGTATAGGAACAGTAATTTTTCTATCGCTGACACAGAAACCGAACAAGGAAGCATTGAAATCTAATGATTCTAATGACGAATACATAAACTATTTAAAAAGAAAATCCAAAGAACATGGTTACTTAAAGAAAGTTTCGTAATCACCAATCAGTAACTCTAACTTGAGAGACAATGTCGAGCAGAACAACTAACATGCATTTACTTTCAGAAAAAGTAATTTTGACAAAGTAAGCATAAATGAGAGGATTTAAAGTAAATGTCTAATTAATTACTCTAGAAACGAAAGTGTTCTTGACTGTGTTGGCGGTGACTGTAATTAGAAATTCACCTTCTGTCGAATTTTCCAGTTCCGTAGACAACGAAATCTGAAGAAAACAATTCATAATCGTTTACAGCATCACTCAGACCTGTCTGCGATAATTACACTTAATGCTATCTGCTATTTTTATTAAATAAATACAACTTGGTGTTTAATATCTTGGCATTCAGGCTGGGTAAAATGAAGGATGGTCAGACTGATTAACTACGAATGAATGACTAGAAATTGATGGATTGGTCTGCAGAAAGACTATCATATTTATGTTTAGATAAGCTTTTTAGGGACAGGGCACAATCTCTCAACCTAGTGACTAACTTCCAATAGTTTATCTTCTGATAAAACTAAATTAACACAGTTTGCCCACTTAAGATCATGGCTTTAAAGTCTTTCAGCTCATGTTCTTCACTACACTTGAAATATATATATTTTCTTCTTATTACAGTTACATAAAAAATTAGACATTATGAGAAACATTTACTTCCACAACATCAAACATCGGACGAATGACCATTTTTATATTTTCTCGACTTTTCATGACCTCTACAATACGAAAAAAGTAGTGTACCATTTCCGCCTGTCTGCCTGTCTGTCTGTTTGGTGTCTGTATCCATTTTTATTGGACACGTACCTAATTTCGGAAACTGCTACACCGGTTGTTGTCAAATTTTGTATGTATATTAGAAAAGTTAGATGGTTAAATACTAACCAGAATTTTGCTAATCATTCAACAAAGATAGTAAAATCTTCTTGAAGACTCCAACTGTATTTTTCTAAATGTGAAAACTTGTCGGGGATCCTAGCTGGTTTTTTAATAATGTCAAAGCTTCTCGGGATTCCCAAGTGTATTTTTTTTAAAGGTGAAATCTTCTCGGGAGCCCCAACTGTCTTTTTTTTTAAATAATGTAAAATCTTCTCGGGGGCCCATCTCTCTTTTTTTTTAAGAAAGTGACACCTCGGGTGCCTCAAGTGTCTTTTTTTGAAAGAAAATTAAACCTTCTCGGAGTTCCCAATTCTCTTTTTTGAAAAAAGGTGAAACCTTCTTGAGGGCCCCAAGTGTTTTTTTTAAGGAGTTGAAACTTTCTCGGGCGCCCAAATTGTCTTATTTTAAAAAAGTTGAAAACTTCTCTGAGATCCCAACTGTTTTTTTTAATAAAGTGAAATCTTCTCGAGATTCCTAACTGTTTTTTTTTAAGGTGAAACCTTTCCGAGGGCCTCAACTGTCTTTTTTTAAAGAAAGTGAAACCTTCTCGGGTGTCCCAAGTGTATTTTTTTAAGAAAGTGAAACTTTCTCGGAGGTCTCAACTGTCTTTGTCTTCTCGGGGTTTCCAACTGTGTTTTCTTAACGAAGGTGAAACCTTGTCGAGGCCCCCAACTGTCTTTTTTTTTAAGAAAGTGAAACTTCGGGGGCGTCAAGTGTCTTTTTTGAAAGAAAATGAAACCTTCTCGGGTTCTCAAGTTTCTTCTTTTTTAAAAAAAGGTGAAACCTTCTCTGGGACCCCAATTTTTTTTTTTTTAAGAAGTTGAAACCTTCTCGGGCACCCCAACGATCTTTTTTTTAAAGAATGTGAAACCTTCTCGAGAGCCCCATCTCTTTTTTTTTAAGAAAGTGAAACCTCGGGGGCCTCAAGTGTCTTTTTTTGAAAGAAAATGAAACCTTCTCGGGGTTCTCAATTCTCTTTTTTGAAAAAAGGTGAAACCTTCTCGAGGGCCCCAAGTGTTTTTTTAAGGAGTTGAAACTTTCTCGGGCGCCCAAATTGTCTTATTTTAAAAAAGTTGAAAACTTCTCTGAGATCCCAACTGTTTTTTTTAATATAGTGAAACCTTCTCGAGATTCCTAACTGTTTTTTTTTTAAGGTGAAACCTTTCCGAGGGCCTCAACTGTCTTTCTTTTAAAGAAAGTGAAACCTTCTCGGGGTTTCCAACTGTGTTTTCTTAACGAAGGTGAAACCTTGTCGAGGCCCCCAACTGTCTTTTTTTTTAAGAAACTGAAACCTCGGGGGCGTCAAGTGTCTTTTTTGAAAGAAAATGAAACCTTCTCGAGGTTCTCAATTCTCTTTTTTGAAAAAAGGTGAAACCTTCTCGAGGGCCCCAAGTGTTTTTTTAAGGAGTTGAAACTTTCTCGGGCGCCCAAATTGTATTTTTTTTAAGAAGTTGAAAACTTCTCTGAGACCCCAACTGTTTTTTTAATAAAGTGAAACCTTCTCGGGGTTCCTAACTGTTTTTTTTTAAAGGTGAAACCTTTCCGAGGGCCTCAACTGTATTTTTTTTAAAGAAAGTGAAACCTTTTCGGGGGTTTTAAGTGTATTTTTTTTTAAAGAAAGTGAAACCTTCTCGGGGTTCCCAACTGTGTTTTTTAACGAAGGTGAAACCTTCGTGAGGGTCTCATCTCTCTTTTTTTAAGAAAGTGAAACCTCGGGGGCCTCGAGTGTATTTTTTTGAGAGAAAATGAAACCTTCTTGGGTTCCCAAGTTTCTTTATTTTTAAAAAAAAAAAGTAAACCCTTTTCTGGGCCCCAAGTGTTTTTTTTTTTAAGAAGTTGAAACCTTCTCGGGTGCTCCAACGGTCTTTTTTTTTAAGTTGAAACCTTCTCGAGGGCCCCAACTGTCTTTTTTAAAAGAAGGTGAAACATTCTCTGGGACCCCAAATGTCTCTTTTTTAGGAGATGAAACCTTTTCGGGCGTTCCAGTTGTCTTTTTTAAAAGAAGTTGAAACCTTCTCGAGGGCCCCAACTGTCTTTTTTTAAAGAAAGTGAAACCTTCTCGGGAGTCCTAAGTGTATTTTTTTTTAAGAAAATGAAACCTTCTCGGGGGTCTCAACTGTCTTTTTTTAATATTGTGAAACCTTCTCAGGGTTTCCAACTGTCTTTTGTTTTAAGAAAGTTAAACCTTGTCTTTTTTTGAAAGAAAATGAAACTTTCTCGGGTTCCCAAGTTTCTTCTTTTTTTAAAAAAAAGGTGAAACCTTCTCTGGGACCCCAAGCATCTTTTTTTTAAGAAGTTGAAACCTTCTCGTTCTTTTTTTTGAAAGAATGTGAAACCTTCTCGAGGGCCCATCTCTTTTTTTTTTAAGAAAGTGAAACCTCGGGTGCCTCAAGTGTCTTTTTTTGAAAGAAAATGAAACCTTCTCGGGGTTCCCAATTCTCTTTTTTCAAAAAGGTGAAACCTTCTCGAGGGCCCCAAGTGTTTTTTTTAAGGAGTTGAAACTTTCTCGGGCACCCAAATTGTCTTTTTTTTTAAGAAGTTGAAACCTTCTCTGAGATCCCGACTGTTTTTTTTAATAAAGTGAAACCTTCTCGGGATTCCTAACTGTTTTTTTTTTTAAGGTGAAACCTTTCCGAGGGCCTCAACTCTATTTTTTTTAAAGAAAGTGAAACCTTCTCGGGGGTCTCAAGTGTATTTTTTTTTAAAGTGAAACCTTCTCGGGGTTCCCAACTGTGTTTTTTAACGAAGGTGAAACCTTCTCGAGGGCCCCAACGGTCTTTTTTTTAAAGAATGTGAAACCTTCTCGAGGGCTCCATCTCTTTTTTTTAAGAAAGTGAGACCTCGGGGGACTCAAGTGTATTTTTTGAAAGAAAATGAAACCTTCTTGGGTTCCCAAGTTTTTTTTTTTTTTTTAAAGGTAAACCCTTTTCTGGGGCTCCAAGTGTTTTTTTTTTAAGAAGTTGAAACCTTCTCGGGTGCTCCAACGGTCCTTTTTTTTAAAGTTGAAACCTTCTCTAGGGCCCCAACTGTCTTTTTTTAAAGAAGGTTAAACATTCTCTGGGGCCTCAAATGTCTTTTTTTTGAGATGAAATCTTCTCGGGCGTCCCAATTGTCTTTTTTAAAAGAAGTTGAAACCTTCTCGAGGGCCCTAACTGTCTTTTTTTTTAAAGAAAGTAGAACCTTCTCGGGGACCTCAAGTGTATTTTTTTGAAAGAAAGTGAAACCTTCCCGGGGGTCCCAACTGACTTTTTAAAGAATGTGAAACCTTTTCGGGGACCCAATTCTCTTTTTTTATAAGAAGAGGATTTTTTTTCTCTTACCCTGGGTACTTTCTATATTGTTTTTACTCCATAGAAGTTATCACAAAAAAGTTAAATTTCACAGAATTAAATTTCATAATTTTTCAAAGAAGCAGAATTTGTTGGACCGTAGTTCAAGGGCGAGGCAAGTTCTGTCGAAATAACATTCGATCAGTTTTTTGTGAGTTAAAATTTGAGAACTTTACATTATTCTGAAGAAAAATGAAATCCGAATATGTCAGCAAAATCATCATTCTGTGGAAGATTAGTAGAATTTTGTATGTTTAATTTCCACGTTCAACGCGGCATTATCATAAGAGGCGCATCCAACTAGAAGAATGAATCTTTTCTATTTGTACTACGTTGTTAGAAAAGTTCGTAACGATTTAAAAAAAAATACTTATCTTTAATCGGAAAAAGAATCTTCAATTAATGTGATTGCCATTTTTATTAACGACTTGTTGGTATTTTTAGCACAACTTAAAAATTGTATTGTGAAAAAACTGGTCCATTAATTTTTGACGGCTTCTTTGGTTTCTTTTTTCACCTTCATATATTTTATACAATATAAACACAAACTGATTATTGAATTATTAAAGAAAATTCGGAAAATCACAAAACAGGTGAAACAAAAACAATTAATTTTGCTCACAAAAGACTCATAGCAACCGAAGTGTTAAAAAAATCACAAATTATGTTCCATTTCATTTTTTTCTACAATCATTTCAGAACGTTTCCATTCTTATTTAGGAAAAATGTACTAAATAATAAACGATCGTGTAAATAATAATTTTTATCTTCGATACATAAATCTGTCAGTGATTACACGAACATGTGTAGCAATGCATTTATTATTCTAAATTTGGCATTAAGTTTGTTTTATAACTTATTGTTTTCATATCTTGATGTTTATGTTTATGTCTACTTATGTATAATTAATAATCAATTATATATACATAACAAAAATATATGCCTCGCAGTTCTGATTGATTGTTCTAACGTACATTCTTTCAGAATTTTTGCTCCAGGTATGTTACTAAATACAAGAAAATATTCGTAGGCGAAAAATTTCAAACGGTAGTATTCATAATAAGTAAGTCAGTAGGTTAGTAACATTGTTGGTGAAACACTCTGTATGTTTGGTGATTATTTAGAAATATAGATGTCACCCTTAAATTACCGCTCAGTCGATAACAAACATTAATCGGTCGATAATACAGCGATTTCAATTGCCAACACAAATTTGACGCCACGCCATTTTGTTAGATGCAACATGGATTTGTAGAATCCAACAACAGTTTATCGTGTGAGAACTATGACTTTTTACTGTAAACTACATCGATCAGCAAATTATAGTAGTCGTTGCACTTTCATGTTATACTAAATCATGTGAATAAGCAAGTTATGTGTAAATAGTGGAAATAAGTACCGGCGTCTACGAGATTTTCTAGTTGTACTTCAATTCATTTATTTTGGTGGTTTTATTTAATTTTCGGAACGAAGGAAAAAACTTGGCTCTATGATGATGTATACGGTAAGTGTCTTTCACTGAATTGTTCTCCCTTGATGTTTATTAATAGAACTGTCATAATGAAGGAGGTACATTCTTTGTAAACATAAATACTGTTATTGCAGGGCACAACCACTGAACAGGACAACCGCTTTAGCGATAAGGAGAAGAAACTTCTTAAACAAATGAAATTTAGCGATTGCTTGAGTCAGAGGGTGAGTTGATTTAATGGAAGTTGGCGCTGGCGCCATTACAGGATGTACACATTTTGCAGGTTGATATGTCCAAAATTAAACTCGATGTAATCAAACCATGGATTCAGGACAAATTAACTGAGATTTTAAAAATCGACGACGATGTCGTGGTCGATTTTGTATATAATCAATTAGATGAAAAGGTAAATAAGCCGTGACAACAAGGTGAACGAGTGCTTATAATTTTCTTTGTATCCTAGTTTCCTGATCCAAAGAAAATACAAATCAACCTCACTGGCTTTCTTCATGGGAAAAATGCGCGGGAGTTTATGGCGGAGTTGTGGGCGTTACTCATATCAGCACAGGAAAACCCTTCAGGCATACCGGACTCACTTTTAGACATGAAACGGGAAGAGCTAATGAAAAAAAAGGTAGAATTATTAGTAGACTTATCTGTGAGTTTACGAATTTTAACATTTTTATATTCAAGGAAAAAGAAGAAAAAGACCGCGAAAACAGGGACAGGGAGCGAGAAAAAGAACGAGAAAGGGAAAAGTCAGAAAAGGAAAAGAAATACAGGGACAGGGACAGGGACAGGTCTAGGTCTAGAAGACAGTCAAGATCGCGATCGCGACCCCGGAGGCGCTCCAACGAAAGGTCCAGCAGGAACAGCGACAGAGGCAAGGATAAAAGATCAAGGAGTCGTTCAAGATCAAGGATCAAACTCGATGACCCCAGGAACAATGGTAACGCAAGCCCAAATGAACGTGAGAACAATGGCAGGGAAGAGTCTGTGAAGCTGGAAAGTAATACTGCCAATTCTAAACACAATTTGTAAGTTTTTATTAATGAAAAACTAACGGGTTTTTTAAATTTTACTTTATTTTTTACATTCGAAATTATTTTTATTTTTAAAAAGTACTAACTTGTGGTAAGTAAAAAAATTAGGTTAAATTATTTAGCACAATGTGTAATATGAATAAATGGTGAGCAAATACTTTTAGCTCTAGATAAAGACAGAACTATATGAATGCTAGAAAGAACGTGCAGTATAATCACTTGTTTAAGTTTATTCATATAACGCATTAATTTTTTTTTTGACTTCCCTGTTAGAAATCCAAGGTTACACAAAATAAACTGTTTAGTTACTACTAAACACTGCAATTGCAATATTAATAATAAGATGTGGATTTGTGGAATTATTTCAAAATTCATTATTAAAGATGTGGTAATCATCTTTTCTAACGAGACTGACTATGCTGAAATCCACGGAATATCTAAATCATTACAGATGTATGAAAACTACTACACACAGGTACATACAACATACGTGGATGAAGTTATTGATCGATTTATTGATTTACTGAAATATTAATGGTATTTCTACAAACGAGTAATTAAAATCGAAAAATTGCATGTATAAAGAAGTATTCAGAAAAATACAACTTTATCAATATGATAATTAGTGATTTGATCTCATCTCATTAATTATTTTGAAATTTTACCATTTAAGCATAGTGTCCAATTTTTGGTAATCTCTGTTTTTTCAAGTTAATGCCAAAATCTATTTACAAGACAAAACTACATTGTGATTCTTCACAAACGTCTACTTATGTAAGTGTTACACCTATATGAGTTCTGACATACAATGTAACATTCCAGATGTAACGCTTGCAGTGAGCTATGTTACCTCGATTATGTCTATTTTACCATTGTGTGGAACTATAATTTAAACTCTATATTTCATGTAGCCCCATTAAGAGAAATCCAGTGGATTTAAATCAGGCGGGCGAGCAGAACATTTGGCGGTCCTTTCCGTCTGATCAGCCGGTGGTTGAAGCTAGCTTCCAATCACTGCCTGACTTCTAGAACAAAATGCTAGGAGTGCCACCCGTCAGATGTAGCCACGTGTTTCCTTTTTGGATGATGGTATGTTTACAAATTGTCTTGCTACATATTTTCAAGGTTAAGAAATTATTTCGTGTTTTATTTATGAGTAAAGTGCGCGTGTTCGACGACTTTGCAATTTTTATGGAGATTAAAGAAATTACCTTAACCGTTTACATTTAGTTCTGATTTTTTACGGCTTCCTGGTACGGTTTGTTGATTGTTGTTCATATCCATTTGCTGATTGTAGATGGTGTCCGCCGGTTTTATGAGTTGTTTCAGTTCGTTTGTGAATAATATTTACGCGCTGCATTTCTTAAAATGGTTTTAGATATTTATTTTGGTCAGAAAAAATTAGGAATTCGCTTAGAAATAAGCTTTTTTTATGTTTTGTATTAAGTGTTGGCGCTAACAACTTGCACGTGTGGAATTAATTGTGTGCTACGGTTTTGTTAATTATATGTTAAAATTCTTCAAGGTTAAATTTATTTTTCATTTTTATCCACATTCATTGATAGTCGTAGAGTGGAAATACTTTGAGAATACACGAATATAACGCCGCAGTAGATGCAAAGCGTTTCGTCGTATATATCATGAAAATATACAGGGTGTTATTGAAAGGTACGTACAACAAAATGGACAGTTCTTCGCGAAGTCTAAGAAGTCGGAAAAACTTACTTTGTCTTATCAAAATTTTAAGGGGAAAATTAACCCTTATCCAATCTTTTTAGACGCTACTGAAGGATAAATAGGTAAAACTAATTTATTTTAGTAAATCCTAGCAACTGTAACAATAAAACTTTTGTCAAGACTAAATGTTGCTATAGAAACGAAAGATGATCTTTTTATCAGAGGCGTACAACGAATTTGGACATAAATTTTAATAATTTTTATCTCTAAAAGGAGAACACTTTTACCTGAACTTTTTTTTAACTTTTAGCACCCATACTTCGAGACCAATTGCCGATTTTATTTTGTACGTACCTTTCAATAACAGGCTGTATTTTCTTGAATTCATCTATTTCAGAATCAAATGATACGCCACTGATCACAGTTGAAGTGACATTGTGATGGCTTACATGTTCTCATAGTATCTTCACTGTAAACGTTTTTAGTATACAGTACAAGAATTGCCTATTAAAAAGTGCATAAATATTATGACAAAACGTTGCTTGATTTTCTGATAATTACACTGATTTTATTGGTTGCTGTAATGACTTTTTTTGCGAAACCCTATAATTTTTTCTTCGTTTTTATGCTTGTTCGGCGTTTACAAAAATGTCGATTGTTATCAGTTTTTTAAAAAGAAATACAATTACAATTTTTCACATTCTGTATGATGAACATTTCGGGTTAATTAGATTTTTTAAATTTTAAATTAGTTCAGTGATTTTGTTAAATTAGTTTTGATCGTTAAGTTAAAGTTTGAACGAACTTTGACAAACCGTTTTGGAAACATTTACTATAACTTACAAAAACTGATAAGAAAGGAAAAGAACTTCAACTTCTATAGAACTTATTTGTAACCATAGAAATATTTTAAATTATACTCTCTCCAAAAGGTGTAATTACTGTAATTAAACAATTTACTATGAAATACAATCTTGACTGGACAATGAATGTGACCGCAATTATCTATGACCACAATATTAATGGATAAAACGATTTAGAATCTTTTGTGTTCTTTGGGAAGCTTGTAAATAAATATGTATACAAGGGGCTGTAAAAAGGAACAAAATAAATATAATTTATAACTTTGTTTTTGTAAATTAAATGATTTAAGCAAAGAAATTTGTAAATATTAATTCCAAAGAAATAATTCATAGTTAATGAAAAGAAAAGTATATCTTGACCAGGTTCGGAATACATGGACGATAAATGGCAGTGTAAAAGTACATATTTATTTTTTATTTCTTTAGGAAAAGCAGAATTTTCATCGACTCTAATTATATGCATGAAGAATGCCAATAAGGTAATAAATCTAGTATAAAATTTAGTAATGACGTTTGACGAAAATAATAGACGGGGCAGATTTATTTGCAGTCAGGTCACAAGTTTTATGCCCGTTTACACCAACGTTAGCTGTAAGCATTGCTTAAAAATAACTAGGTACTTCTTAAATTGTACAGTTGTTGCACCGTCGTGGCTTAGACTCTACTTAACCGAGTAATATTTAATTGGGGAGTTGTATAAAAGTTTCATTTTTGTCGCCAATTTAGAAGAAGTTTTATACAATTTCTTTTTTGGAAATTTATAATTTTAACAAATAGATGCTATACCACTATTTAATTTGATATTTTGTTACATTTCCATGTTATTACGTTTCAGTTTATTTAGCTGCTTCTTTTTTATTCAATGTCTAACTCTAAAATTTTCTTCCGTAGCAAAAATTCCATATTTTTTCTTTGCTCCTCTTGTTCTTATTCTGCCAGTTGTGCCTCAACTAACTAGTTTCTTGCTCCCCTCTGATGCTTTTTAATATTCATCTGAAAAAAAAAACACCATGAAACTCTTTATAACAAAACGTGGCAACTTGTAGTCACCTTCTTTATATTAATTTTTATTTTGTTAGGACTTTAGTTTACACTTTAGATACACTTTTGAGCACTGATACTGATGGAATCGTCGCAAAATTGGAAAAAATCGGATTATCTATCTGCTGTTGGGCTTAAAACGTTTTCAGCGCCGTTAAGTTACGATTTCAATGATATCAGACACTTGATATTTATTTCATTTTCAGTTGATAAAAAAAAATAAAATTTATAAACATAAAAAATGAAAGTTGAGTTAAATGAAGCACCTGTAGGTACTTTATTTTATAACCAACAAGATGTTTCAAAAATAGTTATTTTAGCGTATGTTTGAACTGTCGCAAAATAGTGGTAGTTCTTTATTTCACTTCATTTTTAATTTCTTTGTTTCCAAATTTTATTTTTTTCGTCAACTGAAAATTAAATAAATATGTAAGGGCTAGTTTATACACTGATTGGCGTAGATTCAGTCACGTGGTACTTTAAGTCATGGTAATCAGTAATCACAATTTTACGGTGAATCAAAATCCGTTAAAAAAATTCGTTGCAATTTAAAAAAAATATAGGTGTGCATCGCGACGCCGACGCCATGTATGTGTCATATTTGTAATGTACTAAATTAAGCTTCTCCCTTTAAGCTAAAAACCATGGGGTTTGCAGAATTTCAATATTTTTATCCTTTCTCAAGACCTGGGCCGCTGAGTTTTAGTTAGAGACACCCTGTATTGTTTCAGTTAACGATTTCAAAGTACTTAATTATGGTATTTAACTTGAAATACTTGTGTATGTTTTTCGGATTTTGCATAACGCTATAATCATTCGCTTAGAAAGTTCACATGTGTAAAATCTTTAAATTTATGAATATTTAAAAATGAATTACTCTATAAAAATATTGAAGAACTCATCAAAATTAAACTCCCGGATAAATTACATTATAAAAAAATTAAATGATTATTATATTAAAATATCTGATCTTTTACGGTAGAAAGTAATAATCGTTTGTCGTAACACAGAAAGTATGAAAATAAAAGGAATGAAGACGGGACTTAGAATTACATAAATTCCAGAAAACATGCATCTTTAGAACAAATTTATAAATAAAGCAATGACAGAATAAAGAACTTTTATGAAAATAACAAATGTTAAAAGATGTTTACAAATTTGTTGAGTCAATTTTATGGTTTTAATATTTTTTTTGAAGTGAGATTGCATTTTTTGAACATGACAAAATGAAAATAGCATTAAGTTCAGTTAATTTTTATGGGTAGCTGTTGCAAAAAAAAATCGCTTCCTATGGAATTTTGTAGAGTATCCACAAATATATGAAGAGATTTATTTAAAAACCAAAAGCACAGATTTTTACCTATAAATATTATGAACATTTATTTTGGCAAATATTCGTGGTGTCGGTAATACCTTGGTAGAAGAAATTAAATTTCATAATAAAAATGCTAAGGACAAGTTGCCAATTTTTTAATATGAAGATACCTTGCCTTCATAGAGATGGAGAATATCGTTTTCAGTTTCCTATCTAATTTAAACAATATAGGTTTTTAAACTGAAACATGATGAAGCTGTATTTATAATTTTTCTTCGTCCTCAAACGTCATATTTGCTGTATTAAAAGATTTGCAGGGGATCAATAGCCGACAATGAAACTAATAATGTTCTGAAAAGAATTAACAAATACTGAAATCAGTATTTTTTCTTTGAAATAACAAAACTGACTGTTACAATGAATTGTAAGATGAATTACATTTTGTACGAATATGTCAGTGACAGTTTTATTTAGTTGGTCCAATGATGTAGGTGTTTTCTTGTTTCTTAAATATGTATCGGTTTTGAAAAGAAATTTGTGATTTACCGCTACATAAGAGAACGCAACCGAAAATTCAAACGTGACGCAACTACCAAGCAGACGCAGAAGTTTTCATGAAGAGTACCAGATGCTGTTAATATATTCAACAAAAATATCTTCCACCAAAATAGATAAAATATCAAACAAAAGTACTTTTCTGATGTATTTTTATAAAAAAAAATCTTAAAAAAAAAATTGAAAACTACTTTTTTGTTGAAAACGTTCTCTCCGAGTGTACAGAGATACACGATGTTGAACGATGCCTAAACTTGCGGCCCTTGGGACAACACAAGATGGTATTAAATGTGTTAAACTCAGAAAATTTCGCTGTAGATATAACTTGTTCTTTTGTAAAACGTATTTATTTATCAGTTCGAGGTGTATCGTCTTTAAGATTACTTTTGACATACCATGTTGTAAGACATTGGAAAGAGAGAAATTTAATCTCGTATTAACTGGATTTCGTTAAAAATATATTAAAAAAATTCTATACAGAGGAATACTGCATGACAATGGACTCATCGTCCATTGATTTTCTTGTGCCAAATTGTGTAGTAGTTTTGATACATCGAATTGTCGACACCACAAGTTCTCTTTCGTTAAATTTTCGATCATCATCCATCAAAACAAGAAAAGCTCTAATCCGTTGATTACGCTTACACTTTTGATTTCTAACTTATCATTTGAAAAGTGGATGATATTCTTACACGTCGCAAAAAAATAAAACAGAATTAACATTCCATTTACTGTCATAGAGAAAGTTCCCAGCCAGTTTCAAAGCTTCAAGCGAAGTTGATGTCCATGGCCGGCAGTAACGCCAAACAGCCGCAGCAGCAACACCAGTCACGGTCACGTTCCAAGTCGCTCTCCCGGTCCCGGTCAAAGTCACTATCACGCTCTAAGTCACCCAGCAAGTCACGCTCGAGGTCCCGCTCATCTAGTCCAGGAGCATCGAAGGATCGCAAGTCACGCTCCAACTCCAAGGACACCAAGGACAAGAGGCGTTCGCGCTCGAGCTCCGACGTATCCAAGGACAACTTCGAGATCAGGAAGAAAGAAAACAGCGTCCAGAAGAAACGGCACTACAGGTCGACCAAGGACAGCTCGGACAGCGAGCCGGAGCAGGACAAGGGCAAGAGGAAGAAGTCGCCGTCTAAGTCACCGCGCCGCAACAGGAAGAGCAGGGAGAAGAGTCCGAGGCGCAAGAGGAGCGTGTCCAGGAAGAGGAGTCTCTCGAGGAAGAGGTCAACTAGCCGAAAGAGGAGTGTCTCTAGAAGGTGGGATTTTTTATTTGTATTAGTACTGCTTGTTTTTTTTATTAAAAAAACGAGGATTCGATTTTTGTCAATTGTTGACACGGTACGTAACTAATTGGTATTTTTTATTGTGTCAATGGTGTTTTTCTTTATACTGTTAAATGCTCCTATTGTCTAATTCGGAACTGAAAGAAATGATGTTTGTAATTGTTATAGTTGAACTTCCGTTTACCGAAATTGATAAAATATCGGTTTGACTTTTATTATTATAAACGATAGACATGATTTAGTACGAATACCAACCATTTTCAAAAGTTGGTTAACTCCTTTTTCACCCAATCAGGTTGTGTTCTATGTTGAAACTGGACGAGATATCCAGTGTTTGATCAAAATGACTTAATTGTGATAATTGAAAGTTGTGACGTCATTTTGAAGCTCACAATGCAGTGGTAAACTGATGCAGAGAATAGAAACTTCGTTAAACAGAAGACCCCATGTTTTTAAATTTCAGTTATAATTATGTTCAGTGAATGCCATATCGTACTGTTGACGTGTTTTTAGGTTATAATGGATGGACCTATATATCGTAATAAGAATAAATACGCAACACATTTTCAGTTGGTTAAGGTGAAATATAAGAATCGGTCGGACTCGAAATATCGGGTGTCTGGAAAAAAAAATTCTTCAGATGTAGATTACGAAAAAAACGTTATTTTATAGAACTAAAATTGGCAACACTACGAGCCCTAATGCGTGAATACCCTCGGCTTACTTTCTGATTTCTTAGTAACGATGGTGAGTGAAATCCAGCTTTTTTAGGACAATAACAATAATCATGTTTTCAAATTTTAATAATTTTTTGTAAAAGTTAGTCATCAGTACTTGCTAAATAAAACTGATTTTGGCAAATGACATACCCTCTAAGAAAAGGGAGGGTGGTGGGCGGGGCTATTAGCTGCTAAGACAAGAATGATTTTGGCACATGAGATGTCCTGTAAGAAAAGAAAGGGCGGGTGGGCGGGACTAGTACCTGGTAAGATAAAACTGTTTTGGCAAATGAGATACCCTGTAAGAAAAGAGAGGGCGGGTGAGTGGGGCTATTACCTGATAAGATTAAACTGATTTTAGCAAATGACGTATCCTCTAAGAAATTTAATTAAATTACATATTTTAAGAAAGACACTAGAGGCTCCAGAGCACTTTCAAATTCTTTCCAAACAGGAATACCTAGAATCTCAAGATTGTTTTAAATTTTTCAAAAAAAAAATTACGGGTTTCCAAAATTGACTCAAAAACAGGTCAGGTCAAAAAATAGAACACCAAAGTCCCCCAAAATTCTTTTAAATAATTCACAAAAAAAATCTCAATGGTTCTCAAAATATTACACCATGGAAAATAAAACAGTAAAAGCTCAAAAGATTTTTTCAAGTTCATCCAGCAACATAACACCAGATTCTTTTAAATTTATCCGAAAATAAAACATACAGGGACCTAAAATTAACTGCGAACATTTGAAACGTCGAGTTTTGAAAACTTTGACAATTTTTGATACGTCAAACATTTTTAACTGCTTACTCGATTTTTGCTGATTTGTACATACCGCTTTATATCGGGCAAACATTGTTGTCAAATGGAATTTTATCAAATTATTACTAAAAGAACACAACCATATCTTTGTATATTCTAACTGAAATGGTAATTAAACATGGTCATGGGCGAGGGAAATATTAACTAAATTTAGTTGTTAAACGTAGTAAAAGTAAAAGAACCAATTTTAAAATCATTATAACGCCACCAAAATGTGAGAACCCGGTATAGATATGGCATTGAGAATTCTAATAAAATTTTATGGTCTTGCACGACAATGCGTTGTTATATTGACATTTATAGGTTATTCACGATCTTTCTGGATAAGGGTGAACAATGAAAATATGACTTTTTTGTAGTCTAAAAAGGGCTTTAAAAATGATATTATAAATGCAAGATTTCCTTTATCGGATGGTACGATAATAAACTTTGGTGTTGAATTTTTAACCTTTACTTGTTTATTTGACGTTTTATTACTCTGCGTAAGATCATTGTACAATTTATTGCTAATATACGTGGGTATAACATATCCAAAGCCTGTCGGCATGAATAAACAAAGTAAATAACTAGAATTTTTCGAGTTAGTGATTTGAAGACTTGGTTCTTCCTATTTTACTTAATAATCTCACCATAAACATGGAGTCTTAAATATATTCATTATGAATTTGATTGCGTGATGTCTAACTTTCAATGATGTTCTTTTTCTTCAACGGTAAATTTCCCGGGTTTTGTCCAATCGGTCAAAATAAGTTCGTCATTATGTCTACAAAAATCTTACCATTTTGATATGGCCTCAAGTCATAAATTTATTACCTTATCTGGAGATTTAGGTCGCGAATTTATATGCTTATTATAGAGATTCGTACAAAACCCCCACGCCATTTCACTAAAACAATGACCATGGTATGAGGGTAATCTAAGAACTTCATGACCATGCTCTTTCAATCACGTCTGGCTGTATTCGTACGAAAAGGTTTTTTTCGAAAATTTTTCATTGAAATTGACACCATGATTAATCAGCCATTCTTGCACGACTTTTTTTACACGAGAATGTAAGTTTGTCCAGCTGCACTGAGTAGGACGGTGCATTGTCCATAACCACTACACATTGTCGTCGGTGTGGCTTATTCAAATCAAGAATAAACGATTATTCACCGAATTTTGAAAAAATAGTCCGTCAATTGGCTTATGGTAGTTCCAGTCATTATTTTTTTTTAATTCAGTAAACAATCACAACCCTCTAAAAAGCGCCAAAATGGTAAATCTTGAACCTTCACTGGTAATTTTGTTTGGATTAAAAGTTTTTCGATCGTTGATATCCAGACCTGTAAAGTTTTATATAAATAACAAATATTTTCTGTGAAATGGAGCTGCGTTAAATATTCCAACATATAAAAACTAAACCACAAAGATCGTGAATTGAATATATGTCAATAGAATTCACAAAACAGGAATACCAACCGAAATCGTAAAACCGTAGAAAACTTTAATCTCTTTTTTTTTCAATTGCATAATATTTTAAATAGGTTAAAATTGGTCTGTTAGGAAACGTTTATTTGTCCTTTCGAACAAAACACGTAGTAAGAAGTAGTTCATGGACAAAATGCCGCCGAAAATTTGGTTCAATAGAGAATAAGAAATATTGTGTAGACTGTAACAACATAAAATCAGGACTCTACTAACAATTGAAAAAGAATGAAGAAATGTAATTATGTATTAGTGAACAATATGATTTTGCTATACCATTTTGAATTCAGCTAAATTTTTGCTATCTAAGAAAATACATAGTTTAATTTGGATAAAAAAAAAGTAATAACGATAAAAGAAAATTAAATTAGATGATTAAAATGCGCACAATTTGGTTCACCTCCGCATTTCAACACAAAAGTTTAGAGAAAAATAATTCCAACAATGTCTCATATCTCGCGTGATGATTGGTATCTGACGTCAATGAGTATTATGAAAAGTGAGAATGCCATCGTGGGTAAAACAATATTCGGCTGTCATAAGATTCTCAAAATATAATAGGGAGTTGTCGGCGGTTGTATTCACCAGTCACGCATTGAAGTTTGCGTGTTTGAATAAAGTGAAGTTTTATACTCTGAGATAATGTAGACAAAGAGAAGATGTTCTTAATATTGTACGTAATATATATTTTTTGCAATGTGATAAAGACCTTCAACAGGATTAAAAATATCCTAGATCACGGTTTATTTCTGTCAATTGATTTTTGTGTAAAATTGATCCCTTTCTCGCGACCTTTTAACTTCAGCCACAATGGTTACACGACTTACAAGGGTGTCTTCCATCTGTATCATATACGAAATAGTCTACCTTTTTTTTAATTAAAAAACTTGTAAATTCGCTGTTCGTGCAGACAAACAAATTCTGTTTATACCACCCATGTGAGTTCAATTACCGCAGTGCTTACATGAGTAGGATAATTAATTACTGTTCTCTTTTTAACTGATTTTTTTTTGCATTTATTTAAATTCATTTCAAACGAATTCTGCAACGTTGATAAAATTTACTTAACTTAACTTATAAATAATAATTATTATAGATGCCAGTTGGATAAATTTACTTGTCCTACTCATGCAAATTAGGTAATGTAGATTACTGCACGCATTTTTGGCATTAATAAAAGTCATTTTCGTTTATGTAAATTGGTTTCAAAGAGCTCTGAAGTCATAGATAAAATTTTGTATGTTACACGTGGGCACTCACTTTATTTCACTTAAACTTGACGTTCGTAGGTTTGATACTTTAACCCAAATATCTGTTAAGAGGATGGGAAAAATTCTATTCTGGGGGAATTATTGACACCTAACAGAATTCTGTCTTCAGTAGGGGAGAAAAACCTCGGCATTTCTTTGGTGGACGTCCACTGATTTCGTTTCTTTTTTTTAACGGTCTGGCTTATAAGTATTGAATTTGAAATTAAAAAAAAATCGTAATGAAAATGCATTTTTTATACAATTTTAGCGTTTTACCAATATAACAATTAAATATGTAGTAAGGTATGTTTTTTCTAGGAAGCCCATAATGTAAAAAAAAAGATTTTCGATGTAATTTATTTATTAAATATGTATTTCTATAAATACTTGTGAATTGCTGTGGTGTTTGTTGTTGTATTAAATGCATCCTTTGTTTCCTTGCACTCACGTGACTCATTCCTAAACAATTAAATTTTAAACCAGGATCCCAGTATTACACACTTGAACAAATTTTAACTTTACCTTTTTTATTTCCCATTTTCCATAACTGGGGTTTGGAATTTATAATTGTATTGTATTATTTTTTCAGTTTACGAGTTGGTTTATGTATAATACTAGGTTCGTTTACAAACTGTCTTTTTTAACTCTCTGTATATCCATGTAAGGATCGACATGACGATATATTGATGCAGTACTCATCTACCAATATCTTTCACATTTTATACCATGTTGCTCATTTTCATATTACTCATTCTCATGCTGTATAAGGACACGATAACATAAATATTGTGATGTCCTTACACAGTTTTTGAAAAGAAACTGCATTAGTCTTTCAAAACAATGGTTGCTAAAAAGTGCAGCTTTCTGTTCAAAAATAACATCACTGTATTGTTCGTCGTTGTAAGTTTTTAATTTTTACTTCAAATTACAGATAGATTTTTGCTTCCAGACGTAGTCCCTCTCGAACCAAGAGGAGTCTCAGCCGACGAAGGAGGAGCATCTCGCGATCGCGGAGGAGCACCCCAAGGAGACAGAGCCCTCGCAGGAGACGCAGCTACAGCAGGAGGAGGAGCTTGAGCAGAAATAGAAGAGGAAGGAGGAGCAGGAGCAGACGCAGTCCTAGTCGTAGGAGACGCAGCCCGAGCAGACGAAGAAGCAGCAGAGATAGGTTAGTATATAATTCTCTGCATAATTCTTTCCCCAAAAAGGTTGAAATTAGTACTAGTACTAATTTCCCGTTTGGTTTAGGAGGCTTAGACGCAGCAGAAGCCGCGACAGGAATCACCGACGACTTTCGCGCGAGAGAAGACGTTCCAGGTCAAGGGAAAGAAGATCGAGGTCGAGAAGAAGATCCCGGGAAAGAGGCAGTCTGCGAAGGAAGTCGCCCATCAGAGGAAAATCCAGAGAGAGAATCCGCAAACCCAGCCCTAGTCCTGCCGCTCGAAATGATCGTCGGGATCAAAGAGACGAATCACGAGGTTCGCGCCCGACGCCGCGACGACCCGAAGAAAAGAAAGAAGACTCCATCAGACGCATGGAGGAAACGAAGCGAAGCGACGATCTCCACAAGCCGGAGAAGAAACTGGAGGAGAAGCGAAAAATTAGTACGTCGGATAGCCAGAATGAAAGCGACTTCAAGTCTAAGGATCGCAAGAAATCAAAATCTAGAAGCATCAGTCCTGAGGATAATAATCTTATCCCGCCACACGGTCCACCTAGATATTCGCGCAGTTTATCAAGGACACCTTCACCTTTCATAAAAGCTAACGAATTCCCGCCTAAAAAACAAACAGTTCCTGTGTCGACGAAGGACGAGAAGAAAAAACTGAAAGAAAAGGCTGACATTAAGACAAAGAAGGTTACAAAGAAACCTTCAAAGAGTGAGACTGATTCAAATTCAAGTGATTCAGACAGCGAGGGACAAAAGGAAAGAGAAAGGGAAAGGAAGAAGATTAAGTCGAAGAAGAAGGCGAAGAAGCGCGATTCGAGCTCCAGCGATAGCGAAGTGGAGTATTCGTCGAAGAAGAAGGACAAAGAGAGCAGTGCAGAAGTTGAACTAAAGAGTAAGAAAGGTAAGGAGAGTAAAAGAAGTAGACGAGACAGCAGCGAGGAAAAAATACAAAAGAAGAGACATCAGAGTTCCGATTCGGAAGAAGACAAGAAAAAGAAAAAACGAGGTCGCTCTGAAAGCTCTGAAAAAGGTAGAAAATCAAAGAAGGACGATTCTAGCGACAGCGACGTCCCGAAAAGTCGAAGCAAAAAGAAGGTAGAGAGTTCAGATGATTCTGAAGTTGAGAAGGTTGATAAAGAGAAATCAAAGAAACATAGACGGGACAGTTCGTCAGATAGCGAGGAGGAAATGAAGAAAAGAAAGCGTAAGAAGAAAGTCACGAAGTCAGCAAGCGACTCAGACGAAGAAGTAGAATCAAAAAAACGCAAGAAAGATAAAAGGCATAAAAAGAAGAAGAAGCATTCAAAGAAACACAAAAAACACAAGAAGAAGAAGGTAGAGAGTGAGGATTCAGATAATAGTGACGTTGAGGTAGTTAACGAAGATGAAAAAAAATTGAGAGAGAAAGCTCTCAAATCAATGAAGAGGCAAAACTCTAGCGATAAGTCGGAGTGACGTGTATCATAAACGTTTTTATTTAGTTTGAATGATAATAGGTAATTAGCTTTTATGAGTGACCTGTATTTTTCTTTGTCATTCATTCCGTATGTTGCTGTCTTAATAAAGTTGATATGTATGTGGACACAAGTTTTTTATTTTTCGTTTGATTGTGTGGAGAGTTCGATAAATTTGATTTGACTATAAATAGTATTTGAATTTAGGCGCTTCGCCCACGCCGTCAGGTTGGCCACCCTGTTTGGTTGCGAGAAGAAGATTGGTTGCATAAAAATTTAAACCAGATATGGAAGAAGAAAATATTGATTAAATTCAGTTGTGTAGGTGAACGTAATGTGGTAGGTTGTTTTATCATTTTAGTTTACCTAACCTATAAACTTTTTTTTCTTTTGCTTTTAAATAGTAAAATTGTTTGTTACTACTTACAAGTATGTGATCGCTGTGTGTTTATGTTTTACTTTACTAGAATTCGTGTTGTTATGGTCTTTTTGCTCTAAACCTCTCACGTAACCATAAAAATGATATGCACTAGGACACCCCAAGATTACTTTTCTGCTGATGTAAGTATTCACATTTTTTTTAATATTTAATAATAGTTTATTTGATTAAGTTAGTGTAGGTGCAATTTTTTTCCAATTTGATTGGTGTTATTTCGAGTACAACCGCCACGACCGGCTTTCGGCAATTGTTTTTTCAGGATGTTACAATCAAGACCTACTTTTTTACAGTACCCATTAATGTTGTACGATGGGTGTATAAAAGGGTGGATAAGATTTCTTGACTTGTTTTAGAGATTGTTGAAATGATTTGGGCCACGTTTATGTTGTCACGGTTAGAAACGCATGAAAACAACGTCAACAAAATTAATTAATTTCAAGATTTTGTAACCAGTCAAGCGATATAAAAATGTCTATTGATTTATGCAAAAGAGGTGGAAGGCTGGAAGGCATTCACCTTTTTGGAATGTAAGAAATAATCGATTTTTCCCCTACAAATAGCGTGTTTCATGAAGTTCAGCGTGAAATATAATGAGCATGTTCAACACTACTATCATAAGAATATTCATTACATTATGAAATACTATTTCTTTTATTGTTCCCGTGTTTATTTTTAGAAAATTATTTCATAATAGCTGGAGATATGCATAATTATTAATTTACATACAGTTTTATGTAGGTAATAATTTTCGTAAATGGTTGGTCACCTTTTCAGCAGATTTCAGTTAGACAATAACTATCAAAAATAGTTATTATATTCCTGTTATTTATTTTATTTAAGAAACCCTGTTAACATATAACTTACGACCGACGATTCTAATAGAGAAATGTAAATTTCACAGCGATAGTTCTTAGAAAACTAACAGTTTGCTGTAGATAAGCTGTCAGATAGATAAAGGCATAATTGACCTTACCTAATTTCTTGGAAGAAAATGTGTCAGAAGATGAACAAGTAGATGTGAGAAATAAGCTTAGTTCTATAAGCATTTGTCAGAGTGAAGGCAAACTAAGCCTGTTATAATTATCGTGAATTTAGTAACAGTTATTTTTGAGAAAACATGAGTGATACAGTTTTACAGAAGTAAAACATGCAATTGCCCTAAATATTTGCAAGTGGCGAAGTAGATAAATATTTGGACTTTTCCATTTCTCATTCTTTCACAATAATCACGATTTCAATGGTACGTATATAAATTCCCATTTGTGGGAGGATGCATTGCTCATCAAGCGTATAACTTGTTTATTTATAATAAAAATTTTAATCGATATTTTTCTAAGGTCACGATTTGAAAAATTATCCGCTAATAAACAGGTTCATTAATCTATTGTGGAAACTTAATGATCATGTATTGTTCTATTACTAAAGATCCATCAGTACTGCAATTTATTTCTAATCTAAAGTGTAAGGTGAGGTTAATTTTTTTTGTATGAAAATGTTTTAATTAGTTCAATTAATGAGTTAATTTCGAAGCTTACATTAGAAATAAACGAAAGTGTAAAATGGATCGATTTTTTCAAAAAAATTAAAAAAAAAATATCGACATCGGCTAGCTAAAATTCGAGATGCACGTAAAAGCTTGGCAGTTCCACATGTTCGTAATATTTGCACGACGAAAAATAGTTTCAAAATGTTATTCAGGTAATTTTTTATACATTCCCTTTTTTATGATATAGTAACCGTAAGTTTTGGACGCATACAATAACCGATTTTTCCTACAACTATTGAGAAAAGTGTACATTGTATACGTGCTCAAATGCACGGCTAAACAAAATCTCACTCACAAACGTGGGAAAAGTAGTGTACAATCGGATGGAAGTGCTTATTTTTCACTGGAATTGAAGATATGAAACATTTATAAAGCACGTAAGAACACTAAGACCAAAATTTGGTATTATAGATATCTAGATATTTTGCTTATGGCCGATCGTAGACCATTAATAACTTTTTTTTTATAAAATTTTAAAAGGGACCAAGAAAATTTCTTGGAGAGTATGCAAAAGTGAAATATGACCATAATTTTTTCTTAAAATCGGACACAGGCGGGATCGGGACTGGATTGTTTAAATTTTTTCTTTTTCCGTTGTATTTTAAAGGTACTAATGAAAGTGTTAGACAGGAAAGATGACTAAGAAAAACACTACTTTTAGATTCTCAAACATCCATTCCGTAAAGTATGGTAATATAGGGTTATTTTAATGAAGATTTAATATTTTTTGAGATTCATAGCTGGTAGAATCCGAAAATGTCGGTCTCTCGTTTTCATCTGTTTACTGTCTATTTGTTTATCTTTCTGTTAGGGATTTTATTAGACCGGCGATAATATTGAATTTTTCATTTGTTTAAGATCATCGGGTAAAACTTTAAACAATAACTAAAATTTGTCCAGCCATCCTGTAAAAAATTATTGACGTCACCAAATTTTTTTAAATAAATCTCAATGAAAGTTGTACATCTACATATACATCCTCTTTTATTTGTGATTTGTAGTTCAATCTTACATTTAACATGGAAATTTTAGAACTCTGTTGTCACCACTGCTTTCAACTTAAAAACTATAAATCGTACCAAAAACATTGTTGACTTTTTTGTCAGAAATGAGATAAGTAAAAATCAGTTTTTTACTGTTTTGTAAGGTAAAAACAGTGGTAAAAACCGCGTTCTGAAATTTCCATAAATAATTGCCAACCAATTCTCTTTAAAAAATGCATGACGTCATCTCAAAATTTTGTGAAATAAATCATACATGAAATTTATAGCATAACATCCTGTTTCGTTTGTAGTTTACAGAATCATATTTTACAATTTATTCAAGCAACTGTATATTAATAGATTTGTTAAAAAGTTTGGTAAGACACTAACATAATTTAGTGATTAAGAACCATAACAAAACTCTGTTTATTACTCCACGTAAAAATGAAAACTTTATCGCAAAATATTATTCAGTTCATTTTTATAAAAAAAATATATTCTGAATTACGACCCTGCTGGTGAACGTATTAATTTTACCCGATTTTTTTAAACAGAATAATGTTAAGGCTTCGAAGTAGATACTTCTCGCTTTACATTACCCCGTTTATCAATATTTCATCAATTAAAAATTGAGGGGTTAGGGAAGCTCTTTTATAGAAGCACTATATTGATGTGTTAATGGTTAAATATTTGTTGTACGTGCCCACACAGACAAGGTATTAAATTTTACTCTTTTATAGTTGCGTTTAAAATCCTCTATAGCTCTTCGAGGAATAACTTCTTGCATTGCAGTAAAGAAATGAGTAATAAAACTGTTGTTGCTTGTGGTCATAATATTACTATCGTTTAAGGAATTTATTTTATTTTCCGTGCTTTACAAGCTGTGATGGAATTTAAAGTGGAGTGTGCGCTCCTCATATAAATTACACCAATAAAAAGTTAAGTTCTGTAAAATTTCATGATACAACTTCGTGTTGATATGTTTTTTATGATTACATACATCTAAGCAGACTAAATATTTACAAATTAATCGCATTAATTTTCAGGAAATTAATATACTAGAAGAAAGCGTTCTGCCCACACGTTCAATTTGGTCGTGTTTAAGTACTTTGTGTTTAATAAGGAAGTTAAAAACACTAATTGGTCAAATAACTTGAGTTAATGTCATGCATTAAAATTTGTACTTTTGGTTGTGTAATTTTTTTAACAAAAGGTAGATGGATTACAGAAAATAATTACTTTATCGTTCTGTTCTCATTTGTGTTTTTAACATCAGTAAGTGAAGTTCCAAGTTAATTTGGAAAGTCTAAACATTTTTGCACCACGAATATAAAAACTGCAAACATCATTTTACGAAAGTGACTGAGCAAACTGTAAGAAACTTTAAACATTCAAATATACCTCGGTTTGGTATGCTGTGGTGTATAATTTATGTGACATTTTATAAACATCCTGTAATTTCTTCTTAATTTAATAGATTTAAACAGAGGTGTCAAGAACTGGAAGCATGCCAAAGCAAAATTGTGATTTCATTACGATTTGTAAATGTTAGACGCTTCAACAAAACAATAATTTGTTATCAATTCAAATGAGTTTTTTTTTTTAATATAATAACTTTAAAGAGAATTTTATAAGGTGACATTTTATATACCCAGTCAAAAATCAGTCAGCTTTTGAAAGCAACATACTCATGCGAAAATTCTGAGATTTCAAGATTACAATCTTGAACCAATCTTGTACAATATTAATTACTAGTGGTAACATAACAATTCAACAATGGGGACAGTGCGTTAAGAGAACAATACATACCTGAATAAAATGTAAAAAATAACAATCGATTCTTAAAGATAAAGAACAACAAACAAAAATTTCTGCAATCTTTGGTAAGTACGCTTTGTATCCTTTAAACTGACATTGGAATTTATGTTAAATTCAAATTCCTAACATACATTACTCAAGAATGCTACATATGTCATTTACAATTTTGTTCTAGGAAAACAGCAACTTTTCTTAGAACTTAGTTTCATAGGTTCAATGTGGTTACAAAATGACATGTAATTTATGCCTAATTAGAAACTTATTAAAGTTATAGTTCGTAGACGCTCATGAAGCAACTCGAAAATATTTGCTTGAACCTTGTAAATATTTTCATCATTTTTTGTACG